CATCAAATCTGCTACGCCTATTTTTGCGGTTATAGTTGTTTTGGGAAATTATAGATAAATAGAATGCACGTATATATTCTTAAGAAGTTCTTCACAAGCAATCCATAACAAAAACTCAATATACCTATCAAAAGTAAGAGGGACAATTTCACCTTCTAACTGGCTTGCGTTTGCAGTTGTTAAGTTTTTAATGCATTGCATCTTATTATTCTACTTTTGAAAGAATAAATTTATTATTGCTTTGCTCTGCCATGTACTCGACATATATAGACCCGTGCAATGAGCTGGCCAAATACTCACAGAAAGTAAAAGAAAAACACTAATTAATATGAAAATTATATATTTCTTCCATTAGTGAATAATTTTTTTGTTCGTTTGTTGTGACGAGGGAATATAATTTTCTTCGCTTTTATCTCCACTGGTTAGATTGAACCCAATCAAATTACATTTTGAATTAATTTATCGAGATCGCCGGTCGTGACATGTAGAGCTGCCGGTAAATACTAAATCGCCATGTGAACAATTTCAGGCGAGAAATGGCCGGAAGGAGTCGGAATTTCACGCAAACATGACTACATTGACGTTCGTATATCGGTTTAGGACTGAAATAACAATTTTCCCAATAATCATTGATGCACACCTCATTTACATACATCGGCGGGTAAACAAATTGGTTGGGACGCTAATGGGAGTATCGTGCGGGGCAAAGGATCTCCATCCGGGGAGGGAGGCGTACATTTTCTGCCTCGCGTAACATTCACATGGGTGTCTTGATGCGTCTCAACCCTAGACGCATGCCTCGTTTACATACTTCACCGATTACTATTTTCAGCTTTACACGACCTCCATCGTCATGGGATTTTCGCATGTCCAATTCCAATGGCTTCTTTTTCTTCATGGACCGCTTGGTAAGCACTTTACATGTCACATTCAAATTAAACAAAATTAAAAAATTATTGAAAATATGTCTTAAGTTTGAGCTCAAAAGAGAAACCTTTCTAATTTGAATAAGGTTCCTAGTTAGAGTTGGTTCCTATTTAAGTTGTTACCTAATTTGAATAGGTTTCCTATTTTGAATTCAAATCTCTTCTATATATATATATAAGAAGTGTGACTTTTTTGAAGAGTATTTAAGAGGTGACTTCTAGTGAATTATACCCTGGAGTAATAAAGTATTGAAGCCAATAAATTTTGTGGTAAAATTTTTGAATTCCTTTGTGAGATTGACATATCATTTTGTGAGAAATTGTGGGGTTAAATACCGTATGAGTTATTATGTGTAATCGGGGTTTGGGAAATACTGAGAGTATTTGAATAAGTCGAGTGTGGTTGTAATCTCCGTTGTATCGTTTGATCTATAGTGTAATTATTTGCTGCTCTCCCTGTAGGCGTAGGTCATATCGATCGTACCACGTAAATCTAGTATCCGATTAATTTTCTTGCTCTGTCTATTTTATTGTTCGATTGCTTGTTTCCGCAATAATTAATATTAAAGCTAGGCTTGACTAAGTTGAAGCGAATCAATGTCAACAGAAGAAAGAAAAGTGAGAATCGATCAAATAATGGAAGGATTTTGGTTTCTGGAAAATGTACATTGAGAATTATATGTACCAAAGGAAATTGCACTTACCCTTATTTGGGGAGAAACTAGAGTCGACGAAGCAAGATGAATGGGAATTGTTGAATAGACAAGCATTGCGGCTGACGTTGGTTCGTAATGTCGCTTTTAACATTGTGAAAGAGAAGACCACCGTAGGTTTGATGAAAGCCCTGTCATATATGTACGAGAAGTTAATTTTCTGCAATCAACAAAGTCTACTTGATGCGACTTTGTTTAACCTAAAGATGGGCAAATATGCATTAATTGCTAATCATATCAATGAATTCGTTGTGATTGTTAGTCAATTGAGTTCAGTTGAAATTGACTTTGAAGATGAGGTATATGTTTTGATTCTATTATCCTCATTGCCGAATAGTTGGAATATTACTGCTACTACTGTTAGTAATTCCTCTACGCCAACAATCTTGACGTTTGATAGGGTTCGTGATTTGATTCTAAGTGAGGACATCCATAAGTGAGAATATGTTCAACCTGTGTCTACTGCTTTAGTAGGTGAAAGTAGAGGAGTAACCAGTACTCATGTTAGTAGACAACAGAAGTGCCAAAAGTTGTATACGGAGCTCACTTTGGTGCCAAAAGTTCCGTTTGGATCACTTAAGTGCCAAATCGGAGGAAAAATGATCGCTTTGGTGCCAACGGCGAGAGATTCCGGCCAAATTAATACGTGGCATTTATAATTAAATTTTTAATCTTAGTTGGATTTTTTTAAAAAAATAGTTTACGTGGCATTTCCACGTATATATTTAGATTTTTTAAATACTTTTCTAAATTTTTTTCTTTTTTACTTCTTTTCTTTCTTCTCCCTTTGGTCACCGCCGGTCGCCAGGGCGACGGCGGGCAAGCCCGGTGAGGTCGGCCTCACCTCGCATGGGCGAGGGCAAGCCCCGGCGAGGCTCCCTCGCCGATCCGGCGAGGCCGAACGTCGCTGGGAAGGCTACGCCCGAGGGGCCGCCGTGGCCTGGGGCGGCGGCGGCCTCGCCGGATCTGGGCGAGGAGCCCTCGCCGGGCTCGCCCTCGCGGGGCTTGCTCGCCATCGCCCGTGCGAGGGTCGGCTGGGCCTCGCTTGTGGCGGGCGGCGGCGGCCTCATCCGGGTGAGGCCAGGCGGGCAGTGGCCGCCTCCGTCACCGGCGGTGACCAAAGGGAGAAGAAAGAAAAGAGAAAAGAAAAGAAGGAAAAAAGAAAGAAAAGAAAAAAAAAAAGCAAAAAGAAAAAAAAATTATTTAAAATAAAAATCTTGTAAGTAAGATCTTGTGTATCTCCGGCGAGCCACATCGGCTTGAAAATTAATAAAAAATGCCACGTTGAATTTTCGGCCAAACTGATCGGAGTTGACACTTAAGTGATCGTTTTTCAAAAAATTTGGCACTTAAATGATCCAAATGAAACTTTTGGCACCAAAGTAAGCGCCGTACACAACTTTTGGCACTTCTAGTGTCCTTCCCCCTAGTAGAAGTAGTATAAACCCGAAATACGAAATCAATCTAGGACTAGTGGTGCTGTCTGTTGGAGTTCTAACAAGGAGGCATATTAGAAATGATTGCCTTAAGTTGAAGAATGAGAAGGGTAGGGGAATTAGAGTCGAGTCTGCATATGATGTTATGATTGTAGGTAATAATAGATCGGGTAATGCTGATTATGTCTTATTTGTCATTGAGGATTTGTCGTTTGACAGATGGATTATCGATTCTGGTTGTTTGTTCCATGCTACACCAAATAATAACTGGTTTACTACTTATCAATGCATTGTTAGAAGTGAGTGATGTCCACGGTTATAGCGAAGTTCAAGCGAGACTTGAATTTGAAAGATATATGTGGCAGTTGAGCTCATAAGAGGCTGTGGGAGAGTAGTAGTGAAATTCAGATTCCAGTGAAGCGGTTGTGACTTGGCTCAAAAGTCGAGCCAATGTGAATATTGTTACTCGAGTTTGAGCTCACAAGGGAAACTTTCCTAATTTGAATAAGTTTCCTAATTGAAGTTGGTTTCTTATGTAAGTAGTTACCTAGTCTGAATAGATTTCCTATTTTGAATTTAAATCTCTTCTATATATATAAGAAGTGTGACCTCTTGTGAAGACTATCCAGGAGGTGACTTCTTGTGAATTATACTTTGAAGTAATAGAGAGCCAATAAATCTTATGGTAAGATTTGTAAATTTCATTGTGAGATCGAGAGATTATTTCGTCAGAAATTGTGAGGCTAAATACTATGTGAGTTATTGAGGTTTGGAAAACCCTAAGAGTGTTTGAGTGACTCAAGTGTGATTGTAATCCCCATTGTATCACTTGATCTATAGTGGAATTCATTGTTGCTTTCCCTGTGGACGTATGTTACATCGACCGAACCACGTTAATCTGACATCCGATTTATTGTCTTATTTTGTCTATTTTATTATTCGATCGCTTATTTCCATAACATAATTGATTTTAGAGATAGCAAGTCCGAAGCAAATTGACTACAACAACGACCTTTCTGGAGAAGCGGAGGAAAATCGTCATGGCTAAGTAAAACAGTGGACCCTTAAGTTGAGACATAGTCCATCATAATCGATATGCTAACGAGCAAAAAGGGACTCGATTCTGCAGGTGAATATACAAAGAATTAGCACGACGAATTTAGGAGTCTTGAATAAGAAACAAGATGCATTGTGCCTCCATATGCAGAAGCAATTTCCCCAAGTAGAGCAGTTCTCAATTTACCGTTCCCCATGGAGACTGTTCCGAGAGAGAGAGAGAGAGAGAGTCGAATGTGATGGTCGACCGCGGTGCTCGACAGGGAGAGGGGGAATGGCTGAGGGGATGTGTGGCCGCGATATTCTGTAGTGAGTGGTGAGAGAGAGGTGGTCGATGACCAAAGGTTCGTTTTCTTGTAGCGCCGGCCTCCCTCTGTGTCTATGTGTGTGCGAGGGGGGGCCAGGGTGTCGGCAATTAGAAATGGCGACGGCGTCGCCCTTGCCGGGACACAAAGACCCAACGGCGCAAATGCGAAAATGCACACGATTCGAATCTCTTTCCACGGGATCTGGAGTGTGAATTCTACCACGAGTTTGCATTGGGTATGGAAATATACACTAGTTTACAAAATCGGTTCACGAACTAATGCGATGAGTCAAAAGTTGATTACGACAGAAAAGAAAGAAAAGAGCTGTTGTTTGGTGTTCAAATATTACATGTTTGGCTAAAAGTTCAAAGACTATTTGGGTCGTTTTCTCAAGAATTTACTTCACCTACTGTTGAATAAATATAATGCACCGATCTCGATGTATCCAACATAAAGTGTCATCATCTTATAAAAGAATAATATAATTCGAGGATGAAAATATTAATGCATGATGCATCGAGCTCGCATGGACGCCATACGTGTGGGCAAGGGTTCAAAGCCTCTTCAAAACTGTTCTCCACTGTCTTTCTGTCTCTCTCTCTCTCTCTCTCGCTCTATAAAAGAGAAGAGGAGATCTTCCCCTCCCCTGAAAAGCCTAAACCTCCGCTACTCCTCTCAACGACCGCCCTCTTTTACTATTCTTGTCCCTCCTCTCTCTCCTTCCACACAAACAACTTCCACCTCCTCTCTCTCTCTCTCCTCCACCTCCTCCTCCTCCTTGTATTAAACCTACATTCTTGGCATGGACGGTCGCCGGCGACGTCGACCATCCTCTAGCCCCTCGAAACCCCTTCCTCCCTCCACCACTGCCGGCGAACTCCTCCTCAGCTCTGACCACCATTACCCGAAAGCCTCGGACGCCCTCCCGCTCCCTCTCTGCCTCACTAACGCCGTCTTCCTCGCCCTCTTCTTCTCCGTCGCCTACTTCCTCCTCCGCCGGTGGCGCGAGAAGATCCGTGACTCCACCCCCTTGCACGTCGTCACCCTCTCTGAGCTCGCCGCCCTGGTCGCCCTCCTTGCCTCCCTCATTTACCTTCTCGGCTTCTTTGGCATCGGCCTTGTGCAGTCCTTCGTCTCGCGGTCGCCCGCCCGGCAAGACATCGGCGGCCTTAGCGGCCCTTGGCACGTCATGGAGCAAGAGGAGGACAAGTTCATCATCAAGGAGGAGGACCGCGAGGGCTGTGGCGGCGCATGCACCCAATGCACCGTGGGGCCGCTTGCCGGCGCCCTTTCGACGTTTATCTCCCTGACTGAGGAAGACGAGGAGGTCATCAAGTCTGTCGTGGCCGGGACGACACTGTCCTATTCCCTGGAGTCAAAGCTCGGGGACTGCAAGAGAGCAGCTGCGATCCGGCGCGAGGCGGTGCAGCGCATGACGGGGAGGTCCATGGAGGGGCTGGCATTCGAGGGCTTCGACTACGCGTCGATTCTGGGCCAGTGCTGTGAGATGCCGATCGGGTACGTGCAGGTCCCCGTGGGGGTCGCAGGCCCGCTGCTGCTCGACGGGATTGAGTACGTGGTCCCGATGGCAACAACGGAGGGTTGCTTGGTAGCGAGCACCAACAGGGGTTGTAAGGCGATAAACACGTCCGGTGGCGCTACGAGCGTCGTGCTGAGGGATGGGATGACTCGGGCCCCCGTGGTGAGGTTCGGCTCCGCCAAGCGTGCTGCGGAGCTCAAGCTGTTCCTGGAAGATCCCAGCAACTTCGATACCATATCGGTTGTGTTCAACAGGTTAGTGTTGATTAGCGACATTGTGAAGGGATACATGTTGTATTTTGGAAATCTACCTACCACTTCGAAGAAGAAATAACTACATCTACCTAGTTGTTCTCTCGCTTTCGGCATCTTTCGTTCTGTTAAGTACGTACGATAAGTCTAGATTCTCCGAGGAACGGTGCTCTTTCAATTTCACCATGTTCCTGTCAATCCGACCTTGTAATTACTTCACTAGTGCAGGAAAAAGAAGTACGTTGATCTTTTACTTAATCTCTTCTGTTGACGGCATTTTTACTATAATCTTTTTATCGATATTTTACTGCGTAAGTGATCGAGCTCCTTTCGCGTGATAATTGAATCTTGCTTACATCCTTGGATTTTGCTAAAGAGATTCGTTTCTTTCTGTGCTCGAGCATTTTCAACAGTGGTTTTTCCGGTTAAATTTGATTTTGATCGTGAATTGCAGGTCAAGCAGGTTTGCCAGATTACAAGACATTAGGTGCGCAGTCGCGGGGAAAAATCTGTACATGAGATTCATGTGCAGCACAGGCGATGCAATGGGGATGAACATGGTCTCTAAAGGTGTCCAAAACGTCCTCGATTTCCTCCGGACCGACTTCCCTGACATGGACGTTATCGGCATTTCCGGTAAATAACCTGTAATTGTCGCTGGTGTGCTCAACCAATGCTTATGAGATCAAGCATTGCTTTAACAAAATCCTTAGAGAACGGGTCCACTTCTCTTCCTCCCATATTATCCACGCTAGGTAGCTAATATCTTCCATAGTTTAGCTATTCAATCTCATGGACCAACCCAAATCAGAGCCAAATTCATAGAAGCAATGTCAAGAAAATGGGCAATTGCAAGATGGTTCAAAGTTCAAAGTTTAGTTCACTCTCTTTGATGAATCTCTAGGAATATGTAATTTGGGACACGTGCACACAATGCAGGAAACTATTGCTCGGACAAGAAGCCTGCAGCGATTAACTGGATAGAGGGAAGGGGGAAGTCGGTGGTGTGCGAGGCAGTGATAAAGGAGGAGGTGGTGCAGAAGGTGCTGAAGACAACCATACCGGCACTGGTGGAGCTCAACATGCTTAAGAACCTGGCTGGATCAGCCATGGCCGGTGCGCTTGGTGGGTTCAACGCCCATGCCAGCAATATCGTGTCAGCCATCTACATTGCCACTGGACAAGATCCGGCGCAAAATGTGGAGAGCTCTCACTGCATCACCATGATGGAGGCCGTCAATGATGGCAAGGATCTTCACATTTCCGTGTCCATGCCTTCCATTGAGGTGATTAATTCCTCTTCAATCCCATTTTTGAATAATCTTACATGTGAAACACGGGAGGTGGACATGAACCAATTCAAACAGACAATCCGTGGCAGGGCAAACAGACAGGATGACAAGTGTAACAAACAAAGCAAATATAAGAGCAAGTGTCAAGATTCAAATTCGTGAACTGTTCTTTGATAACATATTAGACAAATTGTTTTCCCAAAACTTTAAGCAATGAGGAAATGGGTGAACAGTGTACATATGGAATATTACGTAACAAGTTGCTTGCCATGTTTGAGATTTGTTGTCGTCGAAGGATTTAGAGGCAAACAATGGAAAGATGAAGAGGTTAGTTGATTAGCAGAGTACTCATAAAATGCAATTTCTCCTCCCTAACTTTCATGACCTACTACAGAATCAATACATCCACTCTTTCCAAAAACTAAAGCCCCAGATATTTTACTTTTGTAGGTTTGTCTTTTACTCCTGAAGACAATTAGCTTTTCCATGACTGTTCGTAGATTTCAAAATTTTGCAGATCTAGATGAGCTCATGAGTGATTCCTTGAGATTATAAGCCTAAGTCATGCAACAATAAATTATTACAACATGCTTTGTCCTGTTTCAGTGGGGTTCAGCTAAGTACTTTGCATCTGATCAGGTGTCCACTGGAAGTTGAATTCAAAAAATGGCAGAGAGCTATTTCCTTTTGAATCCTAGAAAGTTCTCAAAAATCTATTGTGAAATTGTGAATTGCCTCTACTAAAATTTGTTATTTTTATGATTCAGGTGGGTACAGTTGGAGGGGGCACCCAACTTGCATCGCAATCGGCTTGTCTGAACCTACTCGGTGTGAAGGGTGCAAGCCAAGACTCTCCCGGCTTGAACTCGAGGCTTTTGGCCACCATTGTGGCTGGTGCCGTGTTAGCTGGGGAGCTTTCACTCATGTCCGCTCTGGCTGCCGGTCAACTCGTTAAGAGCCACATGAAGTACAATAGATCTTCCAGGGATGTCTCCAAAATGGCATGCCAATAAGAGAACAAGATGACCCCACTTTGATTCACGAAATCACACACCTTCAAACGTTGGGAATGGGGAGAATAAGCTAAGAGAAGTTAGAAATAATCATCTATGCTGGACATGGCGAGAGAGAGAGAGAATTAGGAAGAGGGCAGGCATTAAGGACTAATACAAGGGCATGTGGTACGAAGATAACAAGAAGGCAAAGACTTAGGAATTGGAATATTTAGTGAAAGCCGTATGAAAGTTAGGTCTTTCTATGTCCATGTGTATAATAGATCCTGTCTTTTAATGAAGGGTCGCTTCTGTTTGCAACTCTTTCCAATCTGGCCAAGATTACACCAGCAATCTGGTTCTCTCTTGCCAGCAATCAGTTGTTTCGCCTTGTCTCTCTGTAATCTCCATTGATCTGTATGGTGTTTTTTTATTAGCATAATGGTCTTGTCTTTTCAGAGGGACATATCAGAGGAGATTTTAGATATTTCTTTTGCCCTCTCTTTCTAGTTCCATCCATTTGCATAAACAAGCTGAAGAATGTTGTAGTTTCATGCACAGTGGACTTCTTTTTCCTTTCCGGGTAAGATGAAGGGCCTTCGCTAGCCAAGAAAGTAAATTTGCAATATGATCAATTTAGACCTTGATACCGACAAAAGGTGAATCAAATCAAGAAAAGGGTCACTTAGTTACGAGTTAATGAATTGGATACCATGCATATCCTGGATATAGTACAGGAGCTAACTGGGAAGGCATACTACTAACATGTCACTACTGTCTGTCTAAGCATCGACAATTAGAAATCAAAAAGCTACTCTGCCTAATCTGGATTCAGGGCAAATTGGTTAATGTCCAATACCTGATGTTCTAGTCAGAAATTTTTATTTTCTGCATACATCCAAGTTCTGTAAGACATTTAAAATGCATCGTTGCTAATTTAAACAGTGATTACCTGTTGGTTCTCGGTTTAAGAGTAGATCAACCAACCTAAATCACAAATGAAATGTTTCCTGGCCTTTTCTGGTGCAACTCTTTTGGCATCTCTTACAGTCTACTTGTTTATTGGGGGTGGGATCTGGGATTTATGTTTATTTATTCTGCAACTTCTCTCTGGACATTCTCAGGCACCAAGACCAGAAAACAGAAAAGACCCAAGTGTTGCTTTGCTTTACAAGAAATAGAAATCTGGCTTGGTGCATCACCCTCTCACAAATTTTTTGAGTCACTGACAGACTTGAAAATGATGCGCAAACATGTGACCCACCAAGTTGAAGAACCTCCCTCACAGGCCAAAATATGTTGTCCGCTATCCTACAAGACAAAAGCTAGATCAGTATTTTTCACTATGCGGCATCTGAATGTGTGTTGTTTGTTTCTCTGGTTTTGTTGTGACTTGCAGACTTGCACTTCACAAGGTGTACATTCTTCATGGGATAAGATGGTAATTATTCATTGCGATAGTATGTTTCTGGTTCAGGTGTTGCAGGTGGCCAGGAGGGTTAGATAGAATGAACTTATGCCGGCATAAGCTGTAAATTTATGACTGCTACCGAGCCATACGCTTAAATCACTTTGTCTGTTCAAATTTCAAATGTCGCACCATCCACTGACAATGGCATCACCCGAGGAAAAAACCCAGTATCTTTTCTTGGAAAAGATTCACTGCTGAACTGAATTCGTGGGTTGAATCCAAGAACACTAACTGCAGCAGTTCTGATATTCACCATCGTTCCATCGTACCATTTTTCAGAGGGTGGACTTCCCATTCATCATTATCTACTGCTAACTTCAAGATCTAGAACTCTTACTCTTACCATTCAAATGAAGATTTCGAAGGGATATGGTATCCCAGAAGAGAATAATATTTGCAAATATTGACACAATTGCGGTTTCGAATGAATTTCCGAGGCATTTGAAAGGTAGAAGTTCGAAAGGCGGGTTCAAACATAGAACTTGTGCATGGTTTGGTCACCGGACCATAATTTTGAATTGAGGAAGAGTAATCTTGAAAGTTTCTCCAGAGGACTCTACTGTAAGTAGGAAGCCGTCGGATGTCACTTTCCTCCTCAAAATCCATCATTAGTCATGGGTGGGCTGTTTAAGGCCACTGTCTTGGCCCATTTGCCGTTTATTCAATCACTTCTGAAGTTTAGTTTTCATTGAAGTTAATAATTCTTAGTTTATTAATCAAATTTTGGTCATTGGACAGCTTTCGCATCTGTTGCTAATTTGTCAGAAGAGTGAGTCTTTATGTGCTTTGCGCTTCTTGTGTGCTTTGTAAGTTTGCTCTCGTTTATCACATTTCCAGCATAAGATATGTTCGTTAAAACTCCTTCCACAGGCAAATCTGAGAGATTTTAACATCCAATTAGCCAAGGGTTCCCAATAAAGGGTTCGCAGGACCCTGATATATATTGGCGTCATAACAAATAGAGATTGATAGCCCACGAGTTCTTCTGTGATTAAATTTATGAAAAATAAAGTTCAAGTATCAAATTGAAATCAAGCGAGAGCTCGAAAGTGGACTTTGTCCGATCGCGATAACCCAGCACGACTATCAGCAAAATCATGCAGATACACCAAGTACAGATGAAGTAACTTGGAAAATAGCAATAGAATAGAAAAACCTGTGTGTGCTTTTTGAGGTGCGTGCACAAGGGTACATGGACTTATGTGTAAAGTTCAAAGTATTAAGCATGGCAAAAGTCAAAGAGAAAGATAATAGTTAGAAATAGGATGGACAAAAAACAAATAGTATTAAGGGCCTGTTTGGTTCAACTTTGAAAATGTTACTTGGGGGAATGTAAATACCTTTGGGTGAAAGCCTATTGGGGAAATGCAAATGGTGTTTGGTAAAAATATTTTGTAAAGCTACTTTGGCCAAACTATAGTGTTTGGTGAATTTTTTTTGCAAATGCACTTTGAGAATTATTTTATTTATTAAAAAAAAAAACAAAACCTACCCATCGCTGGAGCCGGCCGCCGGAGCCCGAGGTCGGGCGACCCCCGGCGAGCCAGATCCGCCGTCGTCGGCGGTCGCCCGAGGCCAGGCGACCCTCGGCGGGGGTCGCACAACCCAGGTGACGGCCGCTGGGTCGCGCGACCCAGGCGGCGGCCGGCGGCAACCACTGAGGTCGCGCGACCCGGGCGACGGCCGCTGGGTCGCGCGACCCGAGGCGTGGCCGCTTTGGGTCGCGACATGACCCGGCGGCGGCACTGAGGTCGCGAGACCCAGTGCCGTCGCTGGGTCATCATGCGACCCCCGCCGAGGGTCGCCTGGCCTCGGGCGACCGCCGGCGGCGGCGGATCTGGCTCGCCGGGGGTCGCCCAACCCCAGGCGACCTCGCCGGCCCTTCTCCCTCGCCGGCCACCCTCGCCGGCTGTCGTCGCCGGTCCTTCTCGTGAAGAAGATGAATAGCATCAAACCCCACAAAAAAAAAAAAAAGAAGGATGTGAACAGTAGCATTCGTGGAATGCTAGCATTTGGCCAATGCTAGTCTCAAAGCTGAACCAAACACTTCAGCATTTTGGGAAGGGGCTTTCGAGGCCCAAAGCCCCCTTCCCAAAACTGAACCAAACACCCCCTACGCATAGGACAAATGAACCTAAAAACATGTGGGCTAAGTGTAATCCTTTGTTTGTCGTTCCATAACCCATAAACATTGTTTTATTGGTCTCTTATTACATGCCTTATCTTAATTTTTATGCCTTCAACACGCGAAAAGGAGAAGGAGAACGTGTACCGTTGCCTTATTGGGTGGTGCGGGTCTAGAATGAGGCCTGTGGGGCGGCGCCATAGATGTCCCGCTCCCCGAGACAAAAGGTCTAAGCGCCTAACCGCTGCGAACCTACGTAGGATCGATTTGAGGAACATATGTGTTCGGAGAAAGTGAGAGAGCGTATTGTTAAGGTTGGATGTAAAATCATGAATCATCTGTGCATGATGCTTCAGAGCTCATCTCTCCAGCTTACTTCACAAAGTAAGGTATTCTCATGTTCACAGGCAAGAGATGACTCAGATGATCTCTCTAATCTGAATTGTTTTTCTCCAAGCTGAGAATGACCAAGATAAACTAAAGTTTGTATTTGGTTTGAGATGCCATTTCCCCTTAATTTTGACAGTACTCCAAAAACAAATCTGTAAATTTACTTTGACACTTAGGCTCTCTCCAATTAAGCTTGGTCCATGACAATATAGTATGAAACGGATTAGCCGAAAAACAGCTGTGACCAATATCTTGAACCATGTGATTGTCAATCCGAAGATAAAAGAATTCAACAAAGGTAGGCCTCCTCCTGGAAACACAAACAAGTGCATTGTATAAAAGTTTGAAACAATGATTGGCCTCTTGATTCTCAAAATTCCAACTAGAACTTCCACTTTTCATCCTTGTACATTATCTTTTATGCTCTCTTTAGTCAAGCTAGAGAAATGTGTGTGTCAGATGATATTACGTTTTTGGACTCTTAATTAGCTGCCGACTCTTGAGGAATTAGTCTAATCAAGCATAGGAGATTTGGAATTTCATGTACCGGAGAACGTAATCACATAGCCGACAGAAACAATTCTTTGCGCATTTACTTGTACCGAGATACGCTGGTGGACTTAATTCGATGCGGGGAAGTAATAGACCTGACTGGCATCACAGAGAATCGCCAAAAGAAAGACAATTTCTGCATGATGGGACACGGGCTGTCATTCCAGTGTGAAACTTATGAATCTCATTCCAGGAAGTTTAGCAATCAGCATCACAGAGAATTGTCTAAAGAAAGAAAACTTCCGCATGATGTAACACGGGCTCTGTCGTTCCATTGCGAAACTTATGAATCTCATTTCAGGAAGTTTAGCAATCAAACTTTTTCTCATGTTGAACAGAAGTTGTAACATTCTAGTACTGGCACTCACATTTCTCGTCGACTAAAGCATCACCAAAAACATCCTAGTAATACAGAGTGAAACTAAGCAAATCAATCCATGACCAAGTTACTTAGAACTCACAAACAAGTTCTATGGCATGGGATTTGAGATACCTTTGGATCATCATACATCATATTGACACAGAAGAGAGCTCCTAAATTTGCTTCGAATGGAGCTAACCAGAATAGTTTAACGGCCCCAAAACAAGAACAGAAACCAAACAAAACAAAAGGTGTTCTTATGCACAGAATAATTACTACACTCCTTTCATGTATGTGCGACTTAAGAAAACTCTCTCTTCGGCTGATCCTGGTGCTCATCGACCGAAACCGAGGACCGCTTGATGAACTCCAAGCAATCCGCGATGGCTTCCGAGTAAACCGAATTGGACCGCGCAAAGGATGGCATCCTACAACTCTCCGACACGCCCGAGTTGTAGTAATAAGTACAACGCGCTGCGTCGCCCTTCACCAGGTTCCTCCTGCTACTGCTGCTCCTCTTCAGAGAAGAGGAAGTAGACGAACAAGAAGAAGAACAAGTGCTATCGGCGCTGGTTTCTCTGCAACAGATGCTCCTCTTGAATGCTCTGAGAGCTCGACCATATCTGTATCTCCACCTGCTTAACGCCCTGAGCAGGCACACGAACTTGGCCCGCAGTTTTCGTACCGAGAACCTCCTCGAGCTCACCTTGAAGCCTCTGCTGCCGCTGCTTCCATGGCCTCTCCGTCCAAAACTAGCGTAACCCAGATGACTCATTCCCTCCACGACAACAAAAGAACCTCAAACGGAAAACACCACCCACCCACAAATCCCGGGGGCTATACGGACTGCCGAACAACGCCTAAACACGCCACGCCACGACACTGCGAAACGAACCGACCGACCAGGCAAGAATGCGATCGAACGCCCCGTGGCCGACGAACTCGGGACCTTTGAAGTAATCTAAGGATGTTGTACGAGCAAGCACGAGCTGGGGCGAATGTCTGCGGCTCTTCTTGATAGTTCGGGCCTTCGGGGGGGTGGCCGGTCGTGAGCGGATTTATAGAGATGTCCGGCTCATTTCTTTTCGTGCTTCTTTCTTTAACAAATGGTGGGTGTGAATGTGGTCGCTGGCCAAATGCAAAAAAAAAAAATTTTTAATGGAGACAAGAGGAAGAACAGAAGAACAAGATTTGGAATATACACGTGGGTCATGGGAGTACGATGGGGTGGGGCCGTGTGGGACAAGAAAGGGGGGGAAGAAATCGGGGGAGTGCTCTGTTCTCTTTTTTGAAATTGGGCGACTCCAAAGAGGGGGAAGTGGGCCCCCCCCCCTCCTCAAGATATGACCAAAATGGTATCTCGCGCCCCTTGTAGTTTGTGCACGAACAAGAAAAGAAAGGTTGAATGGACCGGCGCGATGATATCATGTTTGAAAATTGATTCGAGGTAACGACTTACCTGTAGCATATCAGTTAAGGAAGTACCGAAACTTATCACTAAAGTGTAATTAAATTGTAAAATTTGTAGAAAGTATAATTAAGTCTCAAAACTTATCAAATTAATGCAATCGAGTCGTACTGTTAGATGAAAAATGCTAACGTGGCCTTTTTAAATATTTTTTCCCTCCTACATGGCGATTACATGGTCCTTGGCCGGGGTCCAGCGACCCCGCCGACCATTCCTCCACCGTCGCCCCCCTTGGTTCTAAATTCTTTTTTTTAGCTTATTTTTTAATTTAAAAATCAAATTTGGACCAAAATGACGTCGTTTTATGCTTATGTTTCGTGTTTTAGCTCGCCATCGCCACGTAGAAGAGAGAAAATATTAGAAAAAAAGTTACGTCGGCATTTTCAATTAACCTAGTGAACGGAGTTAAAGTAAGGATTCGATTGTACCAATTTAACAAATTTTAGGACTCAATTGCACTTTTGTAATAAAGTTTAGGACTTCCGGTGAGTATATCCACATTACTTAATATCTTTCTTCCCGTGCAAGCCGGTCCTTGCTTGCATGATATAGAATGTAGACAACGTAATCACGTCGAACAACCGCCGGGAGACAGGAGAACCGGCGAAAAAATGGGACGAACTACAAGTAGGAGAGAAATAGGAGGAGAGCGTCGCGATTCAAATTCTCGACTTGCACGACACTATTGTGTTGGGTCGATCGTTTTCTCAAAAGTTTATGCGATTAGGAAACCAACTCTATACGTACACGGACATATTATTCGACTGCAATACGAATTCGATCAACCCCGAGGGATGGTTGCCGAATTTAATATTTGGACGTTCCCCGATTTTTGACTCGAAATGGTGTCTCCTTTCTGTAGGAAAGAGTGGCGAATTTTGTCTAGTGCAGAAGTGATAGGGTGGGCGTGGCTGTATTCCTTTAGAGGAAAGCATGGTTGGATGCCATTACGACTTAAGTTGTTGTTATTTAGTTTAACATATGATATAAATATAATGAAGACTAAAGAAGGCCCCGTTCTTGAATGTGACCCCTTTTCCATCGAAATGATACGGAAGAGAATCGCAGCTTGTTTTGTTTTGTTTTGTTTTTTTTTTTTCAAACTTCACTTGCGTCCTTGGAGAGATATAGGAGCTTTCGAGTGAGCTGGGATATCGAAATCGCCACTTTCTCAAGCATCTAAAGCCGCTTCGTTTTACATGTGAGTCAAACTTTGCACATGAAAAATCCGTACGGGTCATTATCAAACCAAACGAAACGAGCTAGACATATGAATACGACAATCAAGACATGGCATATCACCATCGATTTCACATCGGTTCACCCTAAAGCCATAGTAGTTTTGGTTTCGTGCCCGAAAGTCATCAATGCCTGTTGTCTAATGTCATAGGAGTTTTTAGCACCATGCTCTCGAAATTTGAGTGATTTTGGGGGATCAAAGGTACTAACTAGCGTGGGAAGGTGGTGATGTAGGTCATCAAACTTCATCAACACTGCCCGCAGGACACAAGAGGGGCTGCAAAGCCGTATCCATGCAAATCCCTGTGCGACTTTTATTAAATTTGGGGATTCTGCGAGTGAGTAGGTAGCCGAGATTGTGCTTATGTGTCCCCTAATCGTCACGTGGCAAGCGAGAGCACCATGCAAGTGTTTTCCTAGGCTTTCCTTCATTTTTTTTTCCTCATCTCCAATGGGAAAGTAGAGAATTTCCTAACCCCCCACCACCCTCCTCGACTTCGTGGAGATGTTTCCGTTAAAAGTGTCTCTTTGACCCTGGACAAAATCGCCATCCTTTGCACGAGGCACGTGATAACTCCTAGAACATCACGAACCTAAACAACCGCAAGAAAATCACGTTGGCATAGTATCTGCACCAACTGACGCCTGCTGCTAATCGAGCGACACGTTGTCCTTCCAATGGGCGTCGCAAAAGACCTGTACTTCCACCTGAAGTAGTACCGGGAATGGCGACGCCTGTCTTTTTCTCCAAATTGGGCTGTTTGGGGCGAATTTAATTAGTTCCCATCTCGCATTTGGAGGGTCTGTAGTTGAAGGGATGTCATCGAGACTCGTCACTTCCTGAGTAAGGAGTAGATCTCATCCAACTATTCTTTGGGATGCAAGTTGTGGATGTGGCAACGGAAAAGGACAGGTCTAAGTGGGCACGCAGGAATCCCCTAGTGCGTGTTTCCGAGGTTTCGGCGATTCAGCGGGCTGATGAGGAGAAACCAAGACAGATACCAGAATTGTCAATTCATTGTCGCAGGCGCATTAGGCTATTCGGAATCTTAGATGAGCTGTTCCTTACGAATCATCAAATCAGAATCATCTGAGCGGAGTGGGATAACCTAACCAGACCTTTGCCGCACCGGATAATGAGAATCTTCAATGTGATCCATAGCTCTGCAGCAGCATTAGTCTCTTGAAAATTAGGCCATGGTGTCGGACGAGATACCTTTAACCAGAGCCAACAAATGTGCCCAGCCTTATAAATCCCCTCACTTATGGCCTATTTAGTTCAACTTTCCAAGTACTATTTGAGGAAATGCAAATACGTTTAGGTTAAAGCCCCTGGAGAAATGCAAATGACGTTTGGTAAAAAATCCTTTGTAAAGCTACTTGGCCCAAATTGTGTTTGTCAAATTTTTTTTTTGCAAAAGGGCTTTGGGAATTTTTTTTTTATTAAAAAAAACAAACCTACCATACCCTTCGCCGGAGCTGGCGAAGGCCTATGGCCGCCGGTGAGCTAGATCTAGCGCCGGCGACCGTCGCTCGAGATCCGGCGACCGTCGCCCGAGGTCTGGCGACCCCCCGCGAGCCAAATCTACCGCCGGCAACCATTGCCCGAGGCCGAGCGACCCTCGGCGAGGGTCACGCGACCCAGGCGACGGTAGGCTGAGGTCGAGCTACCTAGGCGGCAGACGGCCTCGCGCGACCCAGGCCGGCGGCGCTTGGGCGGTCACGCGACCTCAGGCGACCGTCGCCTAGGTCCTGCGACCTCGCCGGCCTGAGCCGGTGTCGGCCAACCTCGCCGGCCACATCACGAAGAAGATGAACAATAACAAAAGGAGCAAAATCGAAACAAGCCAAAATAAATGAGGATAGTTTGGGACAAAAAATTTGGGTTCGGCAATCTAAATGCTAGCATTTGGCCAATGCTAGGCCGAAAGCTGAATCAAATGGTTCAGCATTTTGGGAACGGGCTTTCGGCTAAACCAAAACCAAACGGGACCTTAGTGAATGCTAAGATGCACTCAAGATTGCATGGACTAGCCCGCGGAATTAAGAGCATCCCTCTCCAGTGCTTTGCTTATAAAACAAGGGCTTGGATACTGCACAACATCAGTAAATCAGACAAGTGAACAAGGACTGTGGACCACAGCATGACAAAAGTAGTACATGCCATCCAGGAGCTGGAGATCTCGGGAGCCTACGAGTTGCCTATTCTAACCTTTCTTCCCCCTCTTTTACAAAGATCAGATTTTAGACCAGAAATGATTAAAATGAGCACAGCCAGATGGAGGATCGGGAGAAACGAGCAGGATCTCAAAACAGTAATCGACAAGAACTGCATGCGAAATAAGGACTAAAAGATAACATAAATCAGAGGTTAATCTAGTCCGCTACACAAGAGTACAAAGGAGAGTGAACTGAAGATGTGGACATGGTTTAGTGAACTACAGAAGCTAACACCTAAAGTTAGTTTCAATCAACATGATGCACATAAGCACGCCAAAGTAGCTCATTCTGATTGCTCGAAGGGGACCCGAACAAATAACTGCCCATGCAGGGTGACCACTGCCGATGTCTGGTGTGGATCAATTCTTGAAGGTAAGTTCACGATCTGTACAAAAGAAAAAACCATTCCTTCTCCATTAATTGATTCCCAATCTTAAACTATAATGCTGACAGTAATTGAGAATGATAAGTCCCAGCAAGGTAGTGGAACATCTACCAGTAGCACAACGACACAAAGTTAATGATTGTGACTATATCAAGACAATCTACATCATGTAGGCATCTAGAATAGCACTATGATCCTTGAGCATAACCATGTCATCCAGATTTAATAGCGCCTCTAGCGAACGGCAATAAATAGCAGGCATTGTAAGGCAATAGACTTGTGGTAGGGGGTTGGCTATGGAGAGAACCTAGAAAAAGACTGATTGTTGGCTTCCAAGTACAAGCACTGATGAAGCACAGACAAGAAGGAAATGGAGCAGGCATTGCTGAAGCATCTACCCGTTGTCTACTTTGCAAAAGTGGTTTTACAAGGACGGATCCTTCAAAACCAAATTACTAATTCAGAAGGAACACATTTACTGAGAAAATAATATACCTTCTTAAAAGGAGTCACCCCCCAAGGATTATCGGGTTGCTCTGGCTCACCACTTATAACCAGTCTTCCAGCAGGATCGGACTGGACCCTGACCTGGATATTCCCAAGAAGCAAATGTGACATCTGAAGCAAATACATGTAGCCAACCAAAGCCCAACAGACAAGAAAGAAAGGAGAAAAGAAGAAAAGAAGACTAAAGACAGAAACATCAGATATTTCTCTGTTTTGGTGAAGGCATCTTAATTTTTCAAAAAATTGGGAACAATTTCATGTATAAGGCCCACAGAAAGTGTTTAAACAAACAACAAGAGGTTGTTTGCTATTATACTTGCACTTCTCATAAAGCTATCTCAATATGTTTTGGAGAGGCATGCCCAATCATATACCAAGTATATGTGAATATGACATATTCAAACTTAAAGGAATAGAAGTAGTTGTATGACACTGCCCCATCAAACCGAGTCGACTCAAACAATAAGTTCACTCATAACCAGATTCACATGGACCCCAAGAGATAGGATGGCCTTAAAAGGCAAGGAACACACCAATAGAACATCACGGTAATAGTAATGTCAAGAAAGTAGTGATGGATGACTCTCTATATTGACACCTATTGTGCCACTCCCCGCTTTCACAATCTAGCCTACCGTCTCTCTAAATTTCCAGTGAAATGACTCCATCAATTTGACAAGAAATTATCACCACCATCCACAGTCACATATATGATATGATACATTCAATATTATGGCATTTGAACCATTGAAGTTTACTGTTTCATTTTCTCCATTACCAATGAACTTCAGTATTAAAAATCCGTTGAAGGAAAGAGTGATGCAAATGTAGCTTTCGTGATTTTCAGTTGCGAAAACAGAAATGGCTATCCGGAAACCTCAGTCCATAAAAACTCAACATGAAAGGGGCCAATAAAATGGGGTTACTACCTTTGTCTCATTTTAAAGTTCATGAATAAATCTAACAACAATTATGAAAATAAAATCCAGAGACTGAGTTCTGACCTCCTCCCGTAGAAGCCCTGGGACTAAGGCATAGACTTCAAAGCAATCCTTCTGCACGTATTGAAAATAAAATTCTAGCAAGAGCTTGAATCTTGAAGAGGAAAACTAGGCAAGTGAATCAATAAACTTACAGTTTTCTGTACGTTGATTTTTACCCAATCAGCTGGTGGTCCAATGTCGACTACTGGTATATCCAATCTGGCAAATGGTAACCATATTAAAAAGGTTTGAAGAATTAAAAGATCAACATTATAACCAGTCTTCTTTAGAAATTAATAAACTAGACAAAAGAATACAAAAAATATGACTTACTGAAGGATTTTAAACATTCAGAACCACTCGCATAAGTAAAGCGATTAAGTAGATCTTCCATGATTTCGATGAATAGGGAGCCTAAATATCTCTCCTTAAAATGTGTTGATTTTTTTCTTTATTAATATAAACCAAAAATCAGTAATAAATAGACCAATAAATATGGTTCGAGAGAAATTAGAGTAAAGACACGACAATGGAACCGTGTTGAGTCAAGAGACCCCTTTTGAGACACCAGAAGAGTCATTTAACAGGGAAATGCTACTATAGAGCCAAAACCTAAAATTATATAGAAGATACTAATGCTGGTTATACTAATTAAAAAGTATTATCAGACTATTCTGTGATACTTAAACCAAGAGAAACAATCATATAACAAACTAATTTAATAGCAGTCACATTACAAAAAGCCTGGCTGAAAAGGATAAATACTGAAAGAGGACCTTAACTGTGATTTAGAAGTTTTTGGTCGTGTAGCTTTAATAGAACTTTCCAAGTATGGTTGCTTCTTACGTTTCACTGGACCTGCAGTGACCACTCCACAATAAGAAACTGGATAGGTATAAAACAGTAGAGGCAGTAATGATACATCCAAAAGAACAGAACTAAATTTGAAGGGATAAGATAAATTCCAATATGTGGCATACCAACGCTTTTAAGCTGCTTTTCACGTTTTTGCATAGACATTGCATTCTTATCCTACAATTACAAGTATACTAAAGCTTAGAGCCTTAAAAAAGTATGCACAAGGAATCCAAATCTAATCACAACACAAAAGCAGGGATCTAGTAAGACATGGTACACACCTTTATAATAGGATCACTAACTTCACCATTACCAAGAAGACGTTGCGAGTGCCAACCCTGCCTTGCACGAGCTGCAGCATCTCTGGGTGCCCTACCGGATCCAGATGCCTAATTATAATAAAGAAATATAAGTTAAATGCTGAAAATTACACCTCCTCTACATGTTGTCTGGAAATAATTAGAAGAGAATGGAGGAAGTAGGTAAAATCTATAAGATCAAACACACAAACAACAATGAAAGGGCAACCCCAATGCACAAGGCTTCCCATTATGCGAGGGTCAGGGGGCAGACTCTGTTGTGCACATTGTTCCCTCGTTTCTATAGAAGGGACAATTTCCATAACCAGAACCTGTGGCATATAGCTAACCCTAAGAAGCATTCAATAGCTTATAGTATCAGCAAAAGTGGATTTTTTCTTTTCTTATTACTGCTGCAAAATTATGCCTCCTGAATGTTCTTTTCCAAAAAGATCTCCCTTGGTTGAGTATAATTCAAAAAGTATCAAACATAACACAGAGAACCGTAATGAGTTACTTTCAACAGAATCCTTAATCACATTTCAGAGTAAAAGAGAACTCAAAATGGAATTAGAAAAACTGAACCGAGGATATCTAGTTCAAACTTTTCACGGTTCCAATTTTTCTATATCGTTCTTAGTCCTTTTTTAATAGAATCACCACTCTTGTTCAGAATTTATGACATTTACAAAAAGGTTAGTCTTAGTCATATTAAATACCAACCTCTCATGGAGCCAGATCAGAACAAAATGGTCAATCTTCATATAATAACTACATTACCTGATTGTCACCAACCATAGGCTCTGTGGGAGAAACAGCAATTATACTAAGCTCCCCACTATGCATATTTTGCCGTTCATAGTCAAGGAGTGCCTAGAAAACGAGCACAATAGTTAAAAGTTCATACATGCAGCTGTTCAACACAAATTTGTAGAACCAGTTCAATACGTATAGATGACTAAAGAGCACAAAGTATGAAACTAAGACTCACCTTCTCATAGAAACCACGAAATGTCCAAGACACTGTAGTGCATGTCCTGCATGGAAGGACTGGACTAATTATGGATGTATCAAGCTGAAAATGTGATTACATGTTCATAAGCAGGAAAGAAAGAAGACTTCAAATGACTATCTTTGGTTTTTGTCTGTCAATGATTGCCCTAAATGCCTCAACTTACAAATTTTCAAAGTAGAGAGACAAACCACTATAACTACCGCAAAAGAGCAACAGGCAAATTAGACCAGCAAAAGAAGCCACAGAACTTGAACATGTAAACAACACAAATTAAAATCCGACAATGACAAGTTCATGATATGCAGAGAAGATATTAAACAGGACAACAGCTATTTCTCATAAGCAGTATTAACAGCTCTAGCCTAGGCTTGAGAATAGAAGCCGTTCCTTACTTGGGGGGTTTAAAGGACTCTCCAACTTGCCGCCACAGCTTACATGATGTAACCTATACACCAAAGATAAATCTTCAATTGCTTGCTCAAAAAGGGTCACTTCAAAACACATGAAGTGCAGAGCAACATAGGAAAGACAAAATGCACATCAAAATATCTCTTCTCATGAATACGATTGCGAAAATGTAAAGCAAATATTCTTATCAACTGGACAATCCCCAGAAAGTATATTATTTTGATCAATGATAGTTCGCCCAATGCGTGAGAATGAACATCAAAAGCAAAATCCAGAGAGACATGTACCTTATCATAACCTCCAAGTCTAGTCACAGCTCGCCACAACCTCCATCACCATTTCAAGAATAAAAACATTAGTTTTGAAATAGGCAATATCCAGACACAATTCCTCCCAAATTTCAGTAAAAAAAATCACGGTTAACTTACTTGAGGCAATTTAGACCCTCCCCGTAAAACTTAGGTGGTTTGAACTCCATGCTCCTCTCCCTAAAGAAGCTCTCCAGTTCCTTCATGAATGATGATTGCTCCCCTTCTGTCCCGGACTCACTACCTTCATCATTTTCGTCTAACAGAAATAAATTTTTCAAACTGGAGTTGCCATTATCCTTAGCTACAGGGGTCTCAGTCTGATGCTCCTCAACCTTCATCGGTTCCACTTTCTCAATTTCAGCGTTAGTGTCAATGGATGCATCATTAGGTGCAATGATGTTGTCTCTTTCTACTGAGGATAAATCATCACAAACAGCACCCGTTTTACTTTCCACCATCTCAGTATCTTCTGCTTTGGGCTCCAATATCGGTTCGACAAGTTCTGGATGACTTGCTGACAGGGCAGTAGAATCGACCTTTGTATCCTGCACAGGCAACTCAGTGGCTTCCTTCTGAGCCAGGGTGGTAGAATCGACATTGGTTTCCTGTAGAGGCAACTCAGCGGCTTCCTTCTGAGCTAGGGTGGTAGAATCAACCTTGGTTTCCTCTAGAGACAGATCAGTGGCTTCTTCCTGAGGCAAATCAGTGGCTTCCTCCTGAGGCAAATCAGTGGCATCCTTCTGAAGCAAATCAGTGGCTTCCTTCTGTATCTCATCCTTGGCAGCAGCAGCAGATTCAGCACTTGCACTATCACGCTTGGGCACATCTTGCTGATTTTCTGCAATAGCTATACTATCTGGGGCAGAGAGTGGAGGACTTGAGACAGGTTCTAGTTTCTTATCATCAGTTGAAGAATCCTCCACGGGCAAAGTGTGCCCATTCTCAATTGGCTTCAAATTTTCCTCTACAGGAACTGGATGAGGGGATTGTTCATGAGAAGCCTCAACTTGCACTTCATTTGGCTGCCCTTCATCAACGAGATTTGGAGCTGGCGGCACCTCCTTATCCATCTCCTCATTCTCCTTTGAACCGCTCATCTTGTGCTTCTAAAGACAGTCCTATCAAAACAAGGGCCTTAATGTCAACAGCGCTTATTCTTTTCCAGCCTTTAAAGAAGGCAAATGTAGAGCACTTCCCATTCCAGGAAACTACTCCATCTCCTTTTCCCTCCGAAAACTATTCGGTGTCTTTTGCTTCGGACTTCTGTTTGTGCACTATTTTGAAACAAACACCTAACAGACCGTTTTCAAAGTTTTGGTTCTCGTCGCAGCTGAACATCAGCAGAACACGAGAACCACTCGATAAAATTTCGTTCTTTCTAACAACAACCATCAAAGCTCTCCCAGTTTCCAAAAGACCAGAACAAGGCATGCCAGCAAAAACACATTCCCGGAGCTAATTTCGGTTTACCAGAAAGATTTCCCCCAGCCAAACCCACGACAGTCACATCCCCCCTACAAATTCCAGCGACAACCCCCAAAAAAAAAAAAAAAAATTCACAGGCTCTCGACGTATGTGCGAGCATGCACTTGCCCGCCGATTTCCTCTTCGCCTCGAAACCGAACTAGGCACTCTCGCGCCAAGCCCAGCTAAGGCGAACGCGAACAGGACACCCATCCCCCCGCCCCGAGCCCCCGAGCAGCAACCGAACCAAGAAGGCGCCGCTCTAGGGCTTCCAGCTAAAAAAACAACACCACAATGACCTAAACCTACCCAAGCACAGGACCGCGACACAGAACCGACCGAACGAGAGACGCGCGGAAGAGCAGGCAACCAAAAACCGCACGAGGACCGCGCACGCGGACGCGGGGCCCTGCCATGTCAAGAGAGAAAGGGAGAGAGAGGGAGAGAGGGACCGAGACAGACCTGTGGCGCCGCGGGAAATGCAGCGGCAGAGATTCGCCGAGGAGGAGGAAGATTAATGCGAGCCAAAAACCCTAGAGGGCGTCCTTATGGGGAAGACGACGGAGGAGGCGGAGGAGGAGGAGGAGGGCGACGGTGGTTCCGTGCGGAGAGATCTGCGAATTGAGAGCAACGAAATTGAAAAACGCTTTTCATGCCCGGGAGAGAGCAGTTACATTTTTTTTTTCTTTTTTTCTTTTTTTTGGCCCCCCCATTTCTCTGATCAGGGAGACGCGAAGGCGTCGAGAGCGGCGAGAGAGAGAAGCTCAGACGGCGGCGTTTTCGCGGTGGTTCCGGGTTTGTTTCGCTGATACGGGCCGGGTCAGAGGTCGCCCAAGCTCGGCCCGATTTGGGCCGGGCCCGACAAGATCCAGATCGCTTGCTACACGGGCCGTGGAGGATCCGATATTTAGGGACATCGCAATTTGGGCTTCCATCTTCTACCTCCTGGGTAACTTCTTGAACCTAGATAGAGAGAGAGAGAGAGAGAGAGAGAGAGAGAGAGGGACTTTACTTCAATGAAGGCGTGTTTGTTTAGATGAAAGAATTTCATGCGGATTAGTTTTTCTGGACTTGCGCTCGTTTGGTTTACCGAAAATGATCAGTCAATAGAAAACTATTTACAATCAAAAGAAAAATATGCATGCTTGAAATTAAGAAAATGAATCTCCTAAAACCATTTTTCGGAGAAATGATTTCCTGGAAAATGTTTTCCTTTATTGTGGAATCTTTTCCGGAACAAGCACGCTCTAGAATCATTTAATGACGTGAATAATTTAAAAAAAGAGTGGTACCCAGAGCTCGCTTACTTAGGGAGGCTACCTAGCTACCAATACCATTGTTAAATTGAAATGGAGAAAATGACAACACGTGAAGGAAGATAGGATGAAAAATTAGGAGATTTCACTTATTTTTTTAAAGCCTAATTTAAAAAAAAAGCACCAACTTTACCTTGAGTGACAATTATGATCGAACTCTTTTTGCCTCATAAAAAATCACCAACTTTCACTTAAATCTCAATTTTGACTCGAACAATTTGAAAATTTCATATTACGGGGACTAGATTTGAAATTCGAGTAAAAGATAGTGCTTTTTATCAAGACAAAAAAAAAAGTTCAGGCCAAAATTGTCGTTCAAGGTAAAGTTGATGTTTTTTTTTAATTAGCCCATTTTTTTAACGACCGTAGACAATGGCATGTTTGATGTTCTTAGCATAAAAAAAATACCATTCTCGACCGATTTTGCATTCTCATATGCCTATTCTAAGCTTCTAGCGAGAAAATTTGCTAGGATGCTTGATTGATCCAGTAGAAAATGTTTTAAAGCTTAATTGATCGCTCGGAAAGTTGTATGTTACTTATTGGATCATGTGGACCTCATGTAGCCGATGCATTCGCTCGAGGCGAGATCATGTGAAGGAGATGAAGGGGGAAGGGAGAGCATGAGAAGAGAGTGGGGGTTGCAATGTTCAAGACCGGTGGTGTTGGGTTTCGCTACCACGAGCACTTCATCAATACGAGCGTTTGTCTCGACGACTCATAGAGCACGTTCCTTAACATCGTTTGGGTTAACTCCTAGGAGTTGAATTAGACTTAGATTTTACATCGAACGCTCCAGATCGATCAAACATTTAAATGATGATATTTAAATGCGCCTTAATCTTTTATTTTATTTTTTAAAAACCCTTAAATTTTAATCCAAAATTTGAAAAGGGTAAAGCCACCCCCAAATATGCATGCATTTGGAATAATCTTTATTTCTAGTTTTCGGGATGAGCTTCACTTAACATTCAAATAACTAAAATCATCCATATATATATATATATATACGTATATACATACGTATATACATATAACAAATTCGAGTTTTTGTCCAACAAAATAAAAATAAAAAAGGGGTAAATTTTAATACATAAAATTTTGCAAAGTTAATAAAGAGGTACCTAATGGCTTCTTAAGTAGAGGTATGCAAACTTTTCTTTTTTGGGGTTTCAAGATCTTCTTTCCTATAGCAGAAAGCAAGTTTGAAAGAAAGATTTCAGTCCATTTACCCCGAAAATCCCATAAAAGCTTATATATTACATTAATGAAGAAGAAAAAAATCTACTTCTATATGATAGGTAATATTGTAATTCGCACATCAAAATAATTACTATGTAACTTCACTGTCATTCACCTTCTAGATTTCAATTCAACTCTTCCTCATTCCACGACCATTTAAGTTAATCTCTTAAGCGAATCAAATGTGGAAGTGTTTTGCATTTTCTTTTATACATTTAAAGCGTATTTTCATATACTTTTTTTTTTCAAACGCAAGCGCATATTCTTTTTTTTTTTAAAGCTTGTTGGCACGAACAAAAAGCTGAACAACAAAAGGAAAATTAGATTTTCATAAACGGGATTTATACACTCTTTATATACATCTAATCTCTTTCTACCTATTAATTTAAGTTTTTGGACTTAAATTTTTGAACGCGCTCGATGAGGTCCACTTAAGGTCTTAAGGATCTAGAGTCCTCTAAAGAAGACGGGAATTTCAAAAGTTGAAATGACCCATTGAATTGTCCTAAGTTAATAAATTCGAATGCCCCAAACTTTATTCATTTTTTCTTGGCACGTGGCCATATGAACCTCTCGAGGGTCGAGATTCGATGCTTTGCCAACCCCGCTTTGTTTGGTCATACGAAGGTGGGACAAGAAAGGTCACATTCTAATAATTCTATTTTTGTTGTCGACCCCATCAAGAAAACGAGTATGTCGGCGAGAAATTCTGAAATTAGGGTAGAAAAGGAAAGAACGAGAAACAGCATTGGACCACACCATTCAATGTCATTCATTCAAAGGCAAACGAGAATGGTGGAAGCTACTTTAATCAATATTCGACAAAGGTGGGGAACAAGTTCACAAATCACGCCATTTTGGGCAAAATACCAATTGAAGGCTAATATGTCACTAGCATTTGCAAATTGGTTCCATACATCCAGTTTAATCTAATATCTTGTGAGTTATGATTGCAAGAAAACAGTATGGCATTTTGCTTTAATCTGGATGGATAGACATCAAGAATTGATTATGAATGATTTGCTTATGTCTAACCTGCCAGGCAGAGCCTTTTGGCTTAAGCAAAGGATTTGGAATTTCAAAAATTCAGTGCACATCTAAATTGTTCAAGTGATATCTGCAGGACTTTAATCACGATTACTGAGAATATTGGTTCATGGTTAAATAGTTTAGGTCTTTTGTGAATTTTCAATCTGTTCACAGCACTTGAAGAAGCATGGACATTGTTTTTTGTCTTTTTGCTGTGTCTAATAATTGTTAGGTCTATTTATTCATGAATGCGAGTTATAGTCCCTCTTACAACCTAAATGCCACAATTGTAGGTACTTCAAAGGACCCGAGCTGCTTGTTGATTTGCAGGACCATATCTAAACATCTATTGCTGGGTCTTTCATTTATGTAGAATGGCAGGTTTTATACACGACCCAAGTAACTCAAGAGGCCGCGAGGTGAAATGATTGTCGGGTTTTGGGGGCCTGGAAGCTGATCTAGTTGAATCTTGGAGCGAAAGGTGAAGGTCTTTTGAGATCGGCTTGTGGGTTTTGAACTTCTTTCTGCACAGAACTCCGTTCCTGTGTAATCCGCTTCTCGAAGACCATGGCCATTCGTACGCGTTAGAGGCAAAAGTTGAGCTATTTTCCAATAGTTGCAGGCTTTCAGAATAATTAGCGTAATCGGCTGCAATCTCTCGATTTTCTGCGTGTTATTAGAATAAATGGTTTTGATATTAAGTGCCTGACAACGTTAGTGCTGGGGTTCCCTCATTCCATTTGCCTGCACCTGAAGGGTAGTCTCGCAGGTATGAAGCATGAACCGTTTCAACTCAAACTTTAAGCTTTTGCCGAAATTGGCACAGCACTCCGGTTAAATTTTGTTTTGTTTTGCTTTTTCAAACTTGGGTTGGCTGGTTGGTTGATTTTGGCTTCACTGCTTGTGCTGCACAGTCTGAAGAAACTGGCGATACTCACTAGAATGAATTTGATTCTCACTTGGTCGATATTGGGGAGCATATAGTAAAAGAAAAGGTACCAATGGGTTTGAATGATCGTGAACCATGTCACGCCCGAAAAAAAAAACTATGTAGAAATTTTTCTTCATGAGAATTGTCTTCTGCCTTTTGATGTAACTATCTGAGAAAAAAAAAAAAAAAAAAAAAAAAACCCCAAACCTGACCCGACCCGGTCCGGCCCGGCCCGGGCCTTGGGGGTGTACTGTGAACAGGGTCTTGGGTGGGTCTGGGCGGGTCAAGCATGACCCTGTAGGTTTCGGGTCGGGTCGGGTATCAAGAAAGCCCGACCCGACCCGACCCATTGACACCCCTACAATGTCATTCATTCAGAGGCAAACGAGAATGGTGGAAGCTACTTTAATCAATATTCGACAAAGGTGGGGAACAAGTTCACAAATCACGCCATTTTGGGGAAAATTGTCAAATTAGTCCTAAACTTATTGTACGATGGCCAATTTAGTCCTAAATCTTTTCATTTTGTCAATTCAGTCCTAAACCTTTTAAATTCTTGCCAATTGAGTCCTTCCGGTCAATTTTGGCCGGCCGGCGCTGACATGACCGCCAGCCGTCCGGTCAACACTGACGTGGCAATTTTTAATTATTTTTTTTCAATTTTTTAATCTTTTTTTTTCTTTTTTTTTTTTCTGCTTTCTCCCCTCTGGCCGGTTCGGCGACCGGCGGCCGGCCAGAGGGGAGGGCCGGCGAGGCCTCTGCCGGCTCGCCCGCCGCTCGCCCTCGCCGCCGCCACCGGCGAGGGCTAGCCTCACGGCCCCCGGGCCGGGCGAGGCGAGGTTGGCCTCGCCTCGCCGTCGCGACCCAGGCGACGGCGAGGCTCGACCTCGCCTCGCCTCGCCTCGCCTGCCGTCGCTGGATCGCGACGGCGAGGTCGAGCCTCGCCCGGATCCGGCGAGGCTCGACCTCGCCGTCACGACCCGAGGCAACGGCGAGGCTCGACCTCACCGTCGCGACCCGGCGACGGCGAGGGCTCGACCTCGCCTCGCCGGTGGCCGGCGGGGCGAGCCGCGAGGCCTCGCCGCCCTCCCTCTGGCCGGCCCGTCGGCGGCCGAGAGGGAGACAATGAGAAAAAAAAAAAAAAAAAAAAGATTGAAAAATTGAAAAAAATAATTAAAAATTACCACGTCAGCGTTGACCGGACATGGACAGGCCGGCCACGTGCTGACGGATGGCCACAAAATTGGCAGGAAGGACTCAATTGGCAAAAATTTAAAAGGTTTAGGACCGAATTGGCAAAATTAAAAGGTTTAGGACTGAATTGGCCGCCGTACAATAGGTTTAGGACTGATTTGACAATTTTCCCCGCCATTTTGTCTTTCCTTAAGGTGAGTAGACCCTTCGTGGGTGATTGCAGAGATCGGCGGGCCGGCCCCGCGGGGGTACCGACCCGGTCGGGACGGATTCTCCTCTTAAGGAACGGGTGATGGGGATTCGGGCGAGGCGGGACGGAGACGTTAATAGGCCCAAATTGTATATATGTTTCGAAAATTATGTTTTTCATATTTAGCTAACACTTTGATAGATGTATATAGATTTAGATACACTGTTATAAGTAAATTATAATTTCGACACGTTTCTCTCTTTTATACATGAGTTGCGATGAATCTTTTAAACTTTTGTACAATTTGCGATGAATCATTCGAGTCTTTTTTTTCTCTTCCCCCCGCCCCCATTCATGCACGAATCTACACGTGCCGTTGTCGCCAAGTGCAATGGCAAGAAGCGAAACTGCACCTCTCGAAGCGGAGAAGCTCAACAGGGGGCATGCCGAGCGCCGGTGCCCGGAGCACGCGAAAACTATTAAAATATATCTCGAGTTTAAGCCCGTCAACGAAATCTGATCCGAAGTTAATTGTTAATCGGGAAAGTCCGAATATTTTGCGGAACGCTCGAAATCAGGCAAGTGCAGCTTACGGTAACCTTAGTTGGCGAGTTGGAAGTTCATGAAGAAAGAAAACATATGGAAAAATGACACAAATAGTCCCGGAACTTTGACCAAATGTGCAATTTGGTCCTTGAACTTTTAATTTGTTCAATATAGTCCTTAAAGTTTAACCTAATGTTCAATTTGGTCCCTGAACTTTTGATTTGTTCAATGTGGTCCCTGAACTTTTAATATGTGTTCAATTTAGTCCTTGAACTATTTGAAAATGTTCAATATAGTCTTTCCATTAATTCAAGTGCAGGGACTGTATTGAACATTCTCATATAGTTCAGGGACTAAAGTGAACACATATTAAAAGTTCAGGGACCATATTGAACAAATTTAAAGTTCAGGGATCAAATTGAACATTATGTTAAAGTTCAGGGATTATATTGAATAAATTAAAAGTTCAGGAATCAAATTACATATTAAATTAAATTTTAGGGACTATTTGTGTCATTATCCCAAAACATATATGCTTTCTTGAATTTCACATTGGAATCGAAAGTTGGACTTTGACCGTGAAAGAAGACTACAGAGCATAAAATATATTGTTTCCTATTTCTTGAGGAAGAGCACGGCTAATCTCTGAAGAGGAAAGTCCCACCAGGTTGGACTTGTTGACAGAATGCCATTATTTCCTATTCCACACGCCCTCATGCGAGTGCTTGGTGGGCCGTGCAAAGTGAACAAGAAGCACCGTCATTGTGAACGAAGAAGAAAGCGCCGCGTTCGTGAGTGCTTGACAGTGGATGTTTATGTGGAGTCTTGTTCGTGAATTACATCAAAAAAAAATAAGTGTTCAAGCTGATTAAATCTTGTGATAAGATTTGTATGTAATTTTATCGTGAGATCGATATAATTATTTCGTGAAGAATTATGAGGCTAAACACTGCGTGAATTATTGGATGTAATTGAGGCTTGAGAAACACTTAGAGTGTTTGAGTAATTCAAGTGTGGATATAATCTCCGTTATATCGCTTGATTTACGATGAAATTTCATGCTGCTCTTCTCGTGGACGTAGGTCACTACGACCGAATCATGTAAATCTGGTGTCCGATTTAGTTTCTTTATTCTGTCAATTTTATTGTTCGATCGCTTTGACTTCCGCAACAAGAACAGCTAGACAAACAAGCGATGGCGTGAACCGATGGGCGATGGGAACGGGCCATGAACCTGCCAAACGAAGGGAAAGTGCAGGGGCCATTTTCGAAACAATAACGCCAACCCCTTCTTTTTCACATGGAGTGGTGTGATGCATTCGCGTAAACGCGACCCCTATGTTTTGTCCTCGCGCCTTCTCTTTCCCCCCCTTTTTTCCCTCTAAAAAGAAGGCTTCGAGGTCATTGAGTTTGGACCCATAAGTCGTGGATCCATGTGCCAAATGCTCAATAATGGCGAAATAAAGTGGGATTGGTTGTGATCATAATGTCATCGCATGCGTGCACTAACATAGGTGTAGACAACACTAGATGTACGTGCACAAGCAATGGAAGGCGCGCCGCTTAAACATTTCCAAAATCGAACTCGGGACGTCAATTGGGGAGGCGGGTTGGATTGAGCCGAGACGTGGCCCAAGGTCGAGCGTAACTTTGCTATCCGAACACGTCGATTTTCAAGATCTGTGATACCTACGATTCGCCAATTTTCGAAGGGTTAGCAAAGCATCGGCACGGGCCGAAGGAGGTTGAGTTTCGGGTTTTTTTAAGAGATTGAATGAGGATGAGTCGTACATATCGCAAGGCCAATAGTCCCAGTGGTGTGGCTTTGTGCATAAAAATGGAAAGGGCACATGCACATGTATGTTGTCTAGCTTTTTTATTCACTCTTAACATGCCTTAGATTTTACAGAAAAGAAAAGGAACAAATAACTACAAAAAAAAAAACTTATTTATTAATGTGATGTGATGTGTGAATTAAGCAGTTTTTTCTTTTTAAAATAAAAAAATAAAGAATTCTATATAAATAACCCCAAATTGACACATGACAAAATTTTTTGGGACCTAAATAGTTTTATTTCTTATTTTAATCAATTAAGATCCTTTATTGTTTTCTATTGCAGCGCCCCAAGTTGTGCTTTAATATATATATACACACACACATTATTTTTGGTCATATGCTTTAATTTACATTAAGCAGTTGAAACCGTACAAAAATTCGAAATTTGATACGGAATAATTTATGAAATTCGATCTTTTTTTTTTAAAATTTTTAATTTTTAATTTTCACATCATAATCAAGTGAATTGCGAGAATTTGGTATATCATCGAAATTTGATATCGAGAGCATACAATAACCAAAATCCATCCACGATAACAAGTATTTCCCAAGAATGCAAAAAGTCGTTGAAATTAAGGATTCGTTTGTTCAGCGGAAGTAAATGATTTGTAATTTTTTTTATTTAAAATGATTGCTTGTATAGCTCGAAATAATTAGCCAATAAAAAAATATTTTTACTATTGACTACAACTTATGTCTAAACAATTTTCGTGGACGATGAGAATATTTTTCGCTTATTCATTTCCGTTAGCGATACAAAAGCGATCGTTTTCAAAAAAATATTTCCCAAATCGTATATTTTTCGCGAAACAAACGTAGCATAAAAGAGAAAGATATCGATTCCATTATTGTGCCGGTCCACGGGGCCTGAGTGCATGTGCTTTTAAACTAGCCAGCAAAAAAATGAAATATGGCAATCTCCAATTTAGTTTATGTTACGTGCACGAATGATTGTACACGTAACAAAAAAGGGTCCAAATTGTACTAATGAGTATGCATATTCTGTGTACGAGTGATTCTATACGTCACGGAACGATCCAAATTGTACTAATACTTGACTTTGGCATTGCAATACTTGGAATTGCAATACTTGACTTTGGCATTCGTGGACAAATCTATTACCCCGAAAGGCAAAATCGGGATAACATTCTCGCGCGCATCTCGTTGCCGTCGCGCATCGCTTGCTTCGATTAATCAATTGAATTTACGGCTCCCAAGGTATTCCTATATCATTTAGGTGCGTTTGGTCGTCGGGATTTCTAAACGGGATAGAATTTGGATAGGATAGGATAAGAAATCACGGGATTTCTTCATATCCCGTCCACTTGCTTGTGGTGGACTACGGATTTAAAGTCGGATAGGATAATTTTTATTTTATTTTTTGCTATTCACGGGTCCAGAGAGTCGGTGAAGGAAAAAAAGCGAGAAATTTTTTGGTGAAAGCGCACAAGGTGTGGGGATGAAGATGACGGCGTGGAGCGTAGGATTTCTAGAAAAATAGGCATTAGAAATCCTATCCGGGTCTATCCTACCCTTCCCCGGATTCCGCTTATCATCCCGTGAGATATAACTATCCATGAATTTACAGCTCCCAAGGTATTCCTATATCATATATTGTTTGGAAAATTAGATGGATGATTAGGATGTATTTTATAGATGACGGGTCTCCTTTTCAAATTGTCTAGACATAAATGTAAACACGCAAAAATGAGAAAATTCTCGCCAATGAAATTAGTAATTCTCGCGACCCTCAAACCGCCCGCCTGCCTGCTCACGGACCTCAATTCCTTCCTGTCAATGGGGAGCACAAGCCACACTCCAATATGCAACTTATTAGCTTAAACTCTCGAGCGAAGGTTACTCCAATTGGATATGTCGATAGACTCGGACATGAGCCGATTCTCCCCGGCAATTATTAGTCCGCCGCAGAAAAGGCACGTGTCCTATTTTCAATGTCGCACGAGGATTGCGGGGAATAAACTATCCCATCTCATAAACTAATAGAAAAATATTCATTAACTTACGAAATGAGTCTCGGGAACTAGTAGAGGTGTCACGTGATATTGAAGAAGCAAAATTTATTCGTTGCATGTTCTATAGTATTTTTTTATATGTTATTGCTTTTCATAGGTCGCACATGTTGCGGCACAAATCCTGAAAGCTAGACAAACATGTCCTTTCTCGCCATCGTGGCCGAGCGGGGAACGCCAGCCAGATGATTCGACACTGCTAGTGCTTTCCCTTTGTCCCTCCACTTCTCTGTTCTTATGGCGCCACAGCTGTTTCGCGTTCTCGGCAGTGGATGGATGAATGGTGAAGAAGAGTAGGCGAGGAAGAGACATCATGGCGAATTGGCGATGAACATTGGCTGGCTCCGAGCCTTGTGGGGCTAAGTGGGCCCTCAAGGCGCTTCCGAGGATGGCATTCGATGTCTGCACGGCTCGCGTCGCGTGGTCGCTTTCGCTGCCATGCTGACAGGGTCGGGATGGGTTCCACTGCACGGCAAACCGAACCAGCTCGAGTCATACATCAAAAAAAGATTCCGAATTTGAAAGTGGAAACTTGAGTTTTGGTAGTTATGTTGCAGAGAATGAGAGTGTCGTGCTGATGGAAAATCTTAGAGTGGTCCAGTGCTGGGATGGTACCACAGAACAGTTAGCTGGTGAAGGGGGATGAATGGCTTCGCTTTCGTGGATCCAAGAAGCGAACTGTGGTGCGATTGCTTTTGCTTCCGCTACCGAACCGGGTTTCGCTTTCTCGATTTGCAGCTCTACATTTTTCGCTAGCGACGAAGTGACCATGTATTTCTCTGTTTGTCTGTGATTGGCATACAGGTTTTCTCTAAGTGCGAGGTCTTCATCCAGTTGTTCGTTGTCAATGCGGGTATATATCTCCGTAGGGTCATATTTGTTACCGTGCAAGCGACGTATCGACATCTTTGCGGGTGTTGAACAAGCGCATAATGTTTCACTGCTCATGTTAAAGTAGCTTCAGTTGAGTGAAGTTGCCCAAAGAGTAAGATTCTGCTTGAAGGAGTTCCAAAAACTTTCGGCCCCATTGATTTCCGTGCTGGGAAGCTAATGTTTCAGAAATATGCTCGACGTATATGATGTGCCGAACCCAGTTTCCTGGTAGATTTGGGAGGAACGGGTTTCATAGTCATGCTCCAGTCTGTTCTTCTACATGATTTCGAGTTATATCCATTTTTCTTCTTTTCTCTGCTCTTTGGACAATCAAAACCGACATGGCACTACTAGTTACGCGAGTATCAAACAGAAAGCAAAGCATATACGCATCTTGAGATGATTGCCTCTGCTTACTGATTAAGCTAATTGGCGTAGCCTGTTGCATCATCTTTAGTGAATATCTCTTCAGTTTATTAGTATGGTTATACATGAAAAATGCACACTATAATGCAATATTTATAGCCTGTATCCTTAAAATAACTCGATCCTGTCTCTAAACTGTTCTGGTATTGTCCTGCAGAAATTTCAGCTATGGGATTTTGGGACCTCTTTGTCGTGGCGCTGATGCCTGTTTTGAAGTTGCTCATCATCACGGGAGTCGGTCTAGTACTTGCATTAGAGCGCGTAAATCTCCTGGGACCAAATGCGCGGCACTACCTTAACGATGTAAGTAGTCCCTTCTCATTTCATTTCCTAATCCTGGTATACCCGGGGCCAAATCTTAGACATTCATAAGCCCCCGACTTTTTCGAGCAACCTGCAAATCTCAGAATCTTGTCGATGCTCTTTATTTTTCCTCTCCCTGCACTGGATATTATCCCAGGAGACTATTGCTTTCTATGTCTTGGTTTGCTTGCTTTCTGGTTAGGACTAACAATAGCCAATCTCCATTTGACAGCTTGTGTTCTATGTGTTCGGTCCTGCGCTTGTCTGTAGCTACTTGGCGGAGACTGTTACACTGGAAAGCTTGGAGGAACTGTAAGTTCGCTTGGGATCATTCCTTCGATGGCACTGTCTCTTTTGTGTATTGTTCTCACTTTCCCGCTATTTTCATTTTACTTCATAGGTGGTTCATGCCGGTGAACATCCTGCTCACATTCGTAATCGGCTCGTTGCTTGCTTGGATAGTTAACATCATCGCAAGGACTCCTCAACACTTGCGAGGTCTCGTCATGGGGTGCTGCGCTGCAGGTACACGCCTTTCTAAGATACTTCTCGAGAGTCAGTTTGGACTATTTAGTCATGCCCGCCAAAGCCGAATATATCACCAACCAAACCTTTTCAGAAACCAAGTATACTACGTTTGTCTCAGGTCGTTGTCCCTGACATTGATCAAGCGGATGAGCAAACTTAAGCCCCGTGAATGATGTATTCCCGAGAAGACCATCCGCTGAATCTCTCTTGATCCCTCCATCTCTACCACTAGCTGATGAATAATCTGATTGTCTCTGCACAGGAAATTTAGGAAACCTGCTTCTGATCATCATCCCAGCTGTCTGTGACGAGTCGAATAGTCCCTTTGGAGATTCGACCACGTGCACCACCAATGGAGACACTTACACTTCGCTTTCCATGTCGGTACGTTCTGCTCTGAGAGGACGGATGTGTATGCTAGTTGGTATGTTCTGAAATGATGATCTGTGTGAAATTTCGCTGAATCGTTTCGAAAGTATCTTCTAAAGTGGTACAAGTCCTCTTCCTTAAAAGTCGACCTAGTGTCTATGGAGCAGAGAAGAATACTAATGGGGCACGGCGCAAGCACTTCAAATTTCTAAGCAAATTCTTCCACTCGAGTCTCCGCTTTTTGACATTAATTATCCCGGTCTGCAACCTCTCTGCTGGTGCAGATAGGAGCGATCTATATATGGTCTTATGTCTATGTCATCATAAGCATATCCGCAAATAAAGGCACAAGTACGCGAGATGAGAACGGGAGCAGCATAAAGTCTTCCGGGCAGACGTCGGAAACCCATGCAGAGAGCACTACCGAACCGCTTCTTCATTCCATAACCCTCGAAGAAAGTTCAGCCCCAGTCGATTCTTCTATCGTGGAGTCTGAGGAAAAGGTAAAGGGCCTCTGAATGTCCTTATGCGACGGCTCTGTCTCTGAGAACTCTGCTTGCTTAGTTCTCGACTCGAGTGTGAAGATAGTCATCGTATTGGATAAACTTCATTCGTCTGGCTTAAGTGGGATAGCGATTTACGGGTTCTATCTGCCGCTTTGCAGGAGACTTTCCTCCAGAGAATTAGGAAGAAGGCTAACATGCTCACCTGTGGAATGGATCTGAAGATGTTACTTACTCCGATAACAATTGGAGCGGTAAATGCCACGTCCCGATGCCTCTCTTACTGGCCATTTGCATCTTTTCTCGAACGTCATAACAATGCTTAAAAGCGAAGAACAATGGAGGATGCGCCTAATCGGATTTTCGAAATGTTTCCTTTGGACACAATTGAAGCGACAATCTCCTTAATTGTTGGCTATGTATCTGCATCGATGCTTCGAACGATTCATTTCTTTCCAAATCGCAATGCTTCAAATGAGCTATTTTTCTTTCCAAATTGGATCGGCCTAAGGTGAGGGGGGGCCGTCTGACAATGCGCTTTTCTTGTGTAGATCATCGGGTTCGTCATCGGGATAGTCTCCCCAATCCGTGATGTTCTCATCGGCGACGATGCTCCTCTCCACTTCATCGAGAGCTCCATATATTTACTGGGGTATAGTACACACTGCTTCTGGCTTTCTTGTGATGTCTAAAGCTCTCGTCTACTTCCAGCGACAATGCGTAGCTTTGTCATGTTGCTTGCTGTAGTAAAGTATCTCATAGGAATGTATTGCTAGTTCTTATCAACTACTGCAGTAGCTTCATTGGTGACTAAAGTGGCGCCTTATCTCTGACGAAAAGGTTGCTGTCGACACACATACTTCGATCTTGACACTCTCCGTTTGTTTCCGTGTCCGATCCGCAGGGAAGCTTTAGTCCCGTCGCAGACTCTCATAGTCGGAGCGAACCTCCTCAGAGGTATCTAATTTTCGCGAGATAAGTCGCTTATGCCTCGATCATCATCGCCTCATCTAAACATGCATGAAGGCCTTCTGTCGATTCTCCTCCTCCCAGCAGTTCATTGTTCTGCATTACCATTTGGATTCTTTTTCTTTCCCCTCCTTGCTCAGGGCTGCGGAGATCGGAAGTGAACGTCGTGGTGATTATAGGGGTCATACTCGCGAAATACGTCGCCATGCCGATCATCGGCGTCGGGGTCGTCAAAGCCGCATCCCATTTCGGGCTCGTGGGGTCCGACCCGCTGTTCCAGTTCGTTCTCATGCTTCAGTTCGCACTGCCGCCCGCCATGAGCGTTGGTACGCGTCCGGGCTCCGAGGAAGCTTCGCGTTCGGATCCGGTTTTCGAGTCTCTCTATCCATTCATGCTCTCTTCCTGTATGCTGCAGGTACGATCACGCAGTTGTTCGGGGCTGGCGAGGGCGAATGCTCGGTGGTGATGCTGTGGACTTATGCCGTGGCAGCTTTCTCGTTGACTCTTTGGTCAACCTTCTTCATGTGGCTCGTGGCCTGATTTCTTTTTTTTTTTTTTTTTCTTTTTGCGAATTTTGTACGCAACTATTTCAGTATCTATTTCGACACCATTTCGATTTTTTTCTTCACTTACCAGTCATTTATTTTTCTGTGGCTTCTGAATTTTGAGTTTGATTTAAATTCCTGTTTTTTTTTTGTTCTTTCAAATTTTTTTTTACTTAATCACACATCATAAAAGCAGGGAAAAATACCACCAAAAATCCTAAATTATGCCACTTGTGACAAATTTACCCTGAATTTTTTGATGACACGAAAAATCTCAAATTATGCCACTTTTGACAAATTTACCCCTGAACTTTTTTTTGTGACATGAAAAACCCAAAATTATGCCACTTGTGATACATTTACCCCACAATACTTTGGCCCAAGGACATTTTCGTCTTTTTTTTTCTTTCTTCTCTTTTCCCTCTGCCATGGCCGGCGGAGGGAAGTCGGCAAGGGCAACCCTCGCTGGCGTTGGGGTGGGGCGAGGGCGACCCTCGCCGGTGTCGGGCAAGGGCAGCTCTCGCCCAACTCAGGCGAGGGTCACCCTTGCTGGATCTGGCGAGGGCAACCCTTGCCGGCATCGGGCAAGGGATGCCCTCACTCGACGTCGGCGAGGGCGGTCCTCGCCTAGGCGAGCGAGGGCGATCCGACGTCAGCGAGGGTCGTCCTCGCCAGATCCGGCGAGGGCAGCTCGAGCCCCACCCCAATGCCGGCGAGGGCCGCCCTTACCGACTTCCCTCTGCCATGGCCGGCGGAGGGAAGAGAGAAGAAAGAAAAAAAAATAGAAAAAGACGAAAATGTCATTGGGCCAAAGTATTATGGGGTAAATGTGTCACAAGTGGCATAGTTTAGGGGTTTTTAGTGTTACAAAAAAAAGTTCAGGGTAAATTTATCACAAGTGGCATAGTTTAAGGTTTTTCGTGTTACAAAAAAAAGTTCAGAGTAAATTTGTCACAAGTGGCATAGTTTGAGGTTTTTTGTGGTATTTTCCCTAAAAGGAGCGAAATCTCGGTGGTTTGCGAGCATACTCATTGGTGTAATGAATTAATTGGAGACGATATTATTTTGTATGTTCATCTTACGAGAATCGTGTGATTTTCTATTTATTTATCGATATTTTATTATTGTCCAATTTTTTTTCCTTGAAATCTCCCATATATCCAGTTGATTTTTGCTTCTAGAATTTCTCTCTCCTAAGCAAGCCCCGAGCCCGAACAAGAATGACTGATCTAAATCTAGATATGATGTAGGATCAAAATAAAGAATTATGAGTATATAAAAGAAGTGACCGCTATCGAAAATTTACCAAAGAAATAACAATTTGGATATAAGTTTTCCTAAATTTAATTAAATATAAAAATATTTTAATAATATAGGTTAGACTGAGTATAAGTCATTAAATTTTATTTCATGGAAACATGTTAATTTGGATCAGACTATTTTCAACTCGACCCAAATCTATCCATTTGACAGATCTAGTTAAACCCAGCCAAGCCCGGCCTAGGGACATCGTAACGACCCGACCCGACCCGCTGTAACTAACTCCACCTTGCTCTATTGGCTCTGCAACATTTTCAGTTACGCGGTGGTGCCAACGTGCCAATCAGCCACCCCTGCCAAGCGTCTCTTCTTCGCTCACCTTCTCCTTCCCCGCCGATCACCACCACTTCTTCTTCTGCTCGTCCTCTTCTCCAAATGTGACTTCTCGAGGGCCTTCCTCGCATGCGTTCTTTCTGCGGTTCTCTCCCCCGTGCCTCCAACTCCACCGCCGTCGTCTCGTTCTCAGCGCTCCTCGCTTCGTTCGGGACTCCGCCGGAGCTTCGATTCCGGGACGGCATTGCATCGCTGCGGTAATCATCTCTTCCGTTTCGCCTGCGAGCGCGCGCGTCGCGTCGTTCGCAGCCGTCGTTCACTGTCATTTGCCACTCGTTCGCACGGGCACGAGTCGCGCATGCGGGCGAATACTTGGATGGCAGCGCTGATGAATATTTACGGGTTCTCTTTGTCTCTTTTGTCTCGCCGAGATATGGAAAAGTTCGCGTGTGTTAGTCTGGAATCGCTCGTCGCTCATCGTTAATGGTGTGTAGGAAGTGGCGACTTCTTCGCTTAGGAGTTTACTGTGCTGTGCTTGTTGGTTGGTAATGGTAGCTCGTCGCTTGGTAAACTTGCAGTTCTAAACATCAGAGTTATCTGCATATCTGTGCGCTCGATGATACCATTTGGTATCACCACTGTTCTCTTTCTTGCGGTACACTCTGAGTTTCACCTGAACTTCAATCTCTCTGTTGCATCTGCTTGTAAGTGTGGATGGGGTTGAAATTGGTGCCCCAAGTGAATTTGCACAAGATGTTCGATCTAAAATTACCAGATTACTCTCTTAACTTTTATTGAACTGCTAGAGTGCAATCTTAGTACCATTTTACCAGTTTCCTCATGCACTCGGGTCAAAGTTCTGTGCTTTGCTCTGGGATCCATGCCCACTTTACACTCGACCGAGGATGAGTTTCTGATCGAACTTCTGTTGATTTATCCGTAGAAGAATGAAACTGCCCATGACTCAATAATGCATTTTGTTTCATAAGGAAGTACAAGAGGGAGGTTGAGACCTGGGAAATTCCTCCATGGCGCTGGTGCTGCTGGATATTTTCGTTGTTGCGCTGATGCCGGTTTTGAAGGTCCTTCTGATTACCGCTCTTGGTTCTCTCCTTGCAATTGCGCAAGTAGATATACTGGGGGAAGAAGCGCGAAAGCATTTGAATAATGTAAGTTCCAGATGTTCCTTTTTTTTCCAACCTTAAGCTGACCATACATTAGTGCTGTTGATTGCATGTCCAGAGTAATTACTTGATTGGCTACTGAAATTTTTACGATCATTGTGATTACAAAAAGGATGGTAACTAAAGAGTATAGTTCTGGAAATCAAGTTAACGAAATTGATGCTCCTTTATAGTGGTTCCTTTATATCGCATCTGTCTGTGATTTATTGATATAAGGATAACATTAGGTGTTGGATACTGACCTATTAGATCACTCTTACCTAGCTTGACAAGAAATACCTTTTATGAGTCTATACTTACATGCGTGATGTATGGAAATAAAGGCTACTGTTAGTTTTCGAATATAGAGATATGTTCTTGTAATAATACAAGTCGTCAGGTACAAAAGGTAGAGTGAGCTTTTTGACATGTACAACAATTGAAGTGTCATTCCAAATCTTATGTACAGAATTCTGAAAAATTGTTGGCGCCATTCCTTTGGACTCAGCAACTAAATTCCTAATCAAGATTAACTCAAATGCTGTTTTTGTCTAACAGATTGTGTTTTTTGTCTTCAATCCCGCGCTTGTGTTCAGCTACCTGGCCAAATCTATAACATACAAAAGCATGGCTTTGTTGTAAGTTGCACACTACCAATGTCTATTTTCCAAATACATGTTCTTTTATAATGGTTTTCCAGGAGTAAATGTCCGCAAATCCATGTAGGTGGTTCATGCCATGCAACATTCTTCTTACGTTCATTCTTGGCTCAGCACTTGGATGGATGATTATAAGATTCAGTAGGGCTCCTGATCATCTGCAAGGCCTTGTCTTGGGATGCTGTGCAGCAGGTAAGCCTTCGTCAGATTTATGACTCTTACACCGGAATGATCTTTTCTTTGGGCCAGTACAACAAAGAAGATTCATAATTATGGTGTACAACTTGTGAAATAGCAGCAACAATGGAATTGGAAAGTGTTCACCAACAAAAAGACGCCAACCTCTTGCTTCAGCGGTATCCACTGTTTAGTTTGTCTGGAGAAGAGCGATTTTCAGAAGAAAGTGAAATGTCATTTCTGAAAAATTCAGACAGAGACGAAACAAAACTATATATTTTGGTTTATTTTGGTTTGAAGTGTTTAGACCAAATTTAGAATATTTTGTTTTTAAATTTGAAAACAAGATTGTAGTGTAAAATCCAGTTTCAAAATGCTTAATATGTAAGTAGAAAAGTCTAGTTTTGCAAATGATAATTAATGTTTTAACGGCGATAGGTTTTACTCGTAGAAATAATAAGATCCTTATCTCTTTATCAGAAACTTTTAGTGAGAGAGGATAAAGATAAAAGTGGTTACCTTTGTTTTGAGCTTTCTTATTCCTGTAATGCTTGGATGTATTTGTTAAGGTGGGGTATAAAACCATGGCATTGATACAATGGACATACTGCATTATAAATGTTCCATTCTCTAGTAATTGATTCCAATAGGACTCTCATTCCACTTATAGCATGCTCTGAACAGGCAATCTGGGGAACATGCCGCTGATTATCATTCCAGCAGTTTGCAGAGAAAAAGGCAGTCCATTTGGTGATCCTGAAAGCTGTAATACACATGGAATGGCATATGCTTCTCTATCTATGGCAGTATGACTGATTAATTTTGTTCTAATCAATATCACTAGTCGTAACAATAATTAGAGGTTATAGTTCCTTATTTTCACTATGTTATATAAACTAGCATAGGGCACTGCAAATTCTTTCTCATTAGAAACTACTTGAAATTGTGATTTCAGATTGGAGCCATTTACATGTGGTCATATGTATACAACATAATGCGCATATTTTCAAGTAGGAGCTGTCAGGGATCTGAACCTGATGTTTCCATGCCCTGCATTCACTCTGCTGGAGAAAACAGAAACCCATTGAAAATTCAAAAGTCGGAGCTTCTTCCTCTACAGCAGTTCTCATCAGTCGAAGATCATGTTGAAGTTGATGTCTCAACATTCGAGGGAACGAGAAAGGTTCATTCACCTTCTGATTTGCTGCCTGTCTATCTGCAATTGTTAAGTTGCCTCTGTCTGAAAACGATTAGAAATCCTCAATTGGGACTCTATCTAAGCACACGGGATAGTCGAACCTCTTTGGTTTTTAGGCCATAGTTAACTGCTAGTGGCTAAGTTTCGGTATTCTAATAATATGAAAACAGTTATAATGGAAAATGTTATGGCTTAATCCTCCAGCATGTCCTCCAGGCTGCACGCAGTTTAACTACGTGACAATGTAAAGTGAAAAGCATTAACTGTTTGCACCTGCAAGCACTTACTTTCAGAGAAAATTGATGTTTAGACACTCCTTTAGCTAGAAACATGGTTAAGCAGCACTAGTTGCAATTAACAAAGCATGCACTTATAGTCGTTTTTTCTATGAGTAATACCGCCTAAAAATGACTTGACTGTGCTTTGAAGAAGTTGATAGCTGTTCAACTGCCACTTTCTATTTCTTCCAAATTTACATGGCAGTAGATAGCAGCAAAGCTGACTCTTTTAGGCTTCATAATCAGGTTCATGTTCCAGCCGAGGTAAAGAAATTTCTGAGAATGGTATGGACAAACATCAACCCAAGAACGCTATTTGCACCTTCAACTATTGGAGCGGTATGCTAATTGTCCGTATTGTTGGAATTCCCATACTTCGTAGATAGTAGATGATGAGAGGCATAAAATTACATAAATCTAAAACCATATGGAAGTTAGGGTCATCCAATTAATTTCCAGACAACCTTGTGGAGATTATGCTAAAAGTTTCTCACTATTACTGGGGAATGAATATCCATTGAATGGTATTACCTCCTAACAATTGATAATCGATTTGATTTCCTAGAGAAGTAACCCATAATTTTGGAGTCGGTGAAACATCGTGTGTTCTATAACCATCTTAGGATGATACAGCTATTGAAACTCTATTTTCTCATGCAGCTCATAATAGAGGCTTTTAGTGTGAGAGAAGCAAGGTGGCAAGAAGGAGAAAAACATCGCATGACGTGCCTATGGTGTTGACTAACAATAGATTTTTATTTCTGATGTGATCTTTCACATAAGAAACTACACTGCGTTATGCATTCTCAATTTATGGAGCTATAGTTTGATACTGTTGTTTTCCTTCTCCTTTTTCATAGAGAAAGTTTACTATATTTCAGATTTAACACAAGAGACTTCTGTGCAGATTGTAGGTTTCATAATTGGCACTACGCCTCTACTCCGAAAAGCAACTATAGGTGATAGTGCTCCTCTTCATGTGGTTCAGGATTCGGCATCACTCTTGGGGTATGTACTATGTATCCTTTCCTGATGGTTTTTTCCAATGCTTTTGGTGGTGTATGCTCAGTCTGATGTCATCTATTTGAATGTTAGGAATTGCTATATAGGAAAACATGAATTTAGCAACGAAAACAAATTAATGATCTGTAAATGTTTGAGTGCCTTAAGCGATGAAATGCTTACACAGAACTGCTTAATGGTTCCTTGCATATGTTTTGCATGAATGCTGACTCTTCGGTACTTCAATCTGCGGGTCTGCCACCTTGGAATCCCAATTTCTTCTTTGTATTTTTTACTTGCTGTGCTGTGGTAAATTGAAGAAATATTATTTCTAAGCCAAAGTTGCTTCATGTTCTCATTTTGACATGGATAAAATAACTTGCCACTACCTTAAAACTGTCGGACAAACTTTGCTTCTCCGTTTGTCTGTGATGGTGTTAGACCAGTATGAATCATTATGATAGCATTGGTCAAGAGTATTTGACTGAATAAGAAAATTGGCAGTCCTGCATTAACTTATCATTCTTTGAAGAAAACACTGTGACTGAGCATTCAAAAGTTTGCAGCCGCTGCAGGATATGATCATACAGACTGGAATCTTACGTCACCTTTGATTGCTCAGCCCTTCTGTATTGGGAAAAACCAAGGGATCTGCGACCCTTGAGCAATCAAATTCTAGCAAATGCATTTATCACCATGGGTTGTTTTCTCATGTGTAGTCCTTGTATGCCTCCAGGGATGCAGCCATTCCAACCGTCACATTAATACTGGGTGCTAATCTTCTCAGAGGTAAGCGCTTCTATTATCTGATTTGTGTTCACTTCTCTACTGTCTGGTTCTCTTTTCGTATTTGGACGCTAAAGCAGTATATATTTGGTGTCTAGGTCTCAAAGGATCAAGTATACACCTGCCAGTCGTCATTGGGATCTTAGCAGTTCGGTACATTGCCTTGCCATTGTTGGGCATGGTGATTGTTCGAGGGGCAGTTTATTTGGGTTTGGTGCAATCAGATCCCTTGTATCAGTTTGTTCTTCTACTTCAGTTTGCGCTGCCTCCAGCCATGAATATAGGTAAGGACGACAATTCACTGTTTAACGTTCACTTTATCATCCTTTTGTTTCTCAAACTTGTGGGAACGCCTTGTGGATAGGATATAGTAAGCAAATTACCAATTCTTTGAGGTTGTTTTAATGACAATGGTTTGAAGTACTATGAGGCTGAGCTCTTTTACATGTAAGTATGACAATGTGGGTAGGACAAGAAAACATGCCTTTGTCCTTATCAAACAAAGCTTCAGGCTTCTCTGAGTAAACTGGGAGAAAGTATGAGGAGGAGAGCAATGAGACAGCGGAAAACAACGCTCCATCTGCTATATGGATGATTTCCTTCCTCACTAGTGATCATTTTTCGGTTATGGACCTTCAATTTCAGCGTCGATCTTGTTTTATCATACCATAGATTTAGTTAAAACCATCTTATCTGAACAGACTCGTTATTCTCGATCGGCAGGAACAATGACCCAACTATTCGGAGCTGGTGAGGCGGAATGTTCTGTCATTATGCTGTGGACTTATGTTTTGGCAGCAGTTTCATTAACACTTTGGTCGGCATTCTTTATGTGGCTTGTGTCATAGGAATATTCTTTTCTTTGGCCGATATTTTTGTCATGTACAAGGATGCTTTCCAAGTAAGAGAACAATGGTAAGAAGAAACGTGACCTTACACAAGATCAAGATCAAACCAAGAAATTCTCTCATTCTGCGGTAACCAAGGACCGCAGAACCCTCAATTCTCAGTCGGACATGGAGTAAGTATTATTGTCCGAGATCGATGATTTTCTCAGTTCTTGCATCATTTTGCCAGAATGAAGTTCATGAATTTCCAAGAATTGGTTTTCCATCTTGAGATTGACAATTCAAAAGACAGAGAAGTTAGTTCATTTATTTTTTGGGCAAGTGAGAGTAACTGATATATTCTACTCGATTCGATGTACAGTATCAGCCCTCCGTTATCAGTAGCATTAGAAAGGCACCCTTTTCGGTTTGAATGTGTATCGCTCGACTGTGAACTTCTTTTGACGGAATGCCGGGCCATGTATTGCGCATTTAGTTGCGGATAGCGCATGCTGGACTTAAGACATTACGTAAGAGAGACAACTATGGAACTTCCATTGAACAGCTCTCCATTGGATCTTCCATAGAACAGCTCTCCATTTCCAGTTTCCTGGAGGAGACTACCGTTGTTAAATACGTTATGTAATTACACTGGCCATTTCCGCTTCGGAATTGAATGGAACCAAACAAACCCCGATCGGTCGGTGGAGTGTGCAGTGTGCACCAAAAACAGAGTAAGTACTCGGTCTAGACTGGGTGGTATAAAGTACCTCAATCATATATATTCCATACACATCAAAAGATGGATTCTACTGTTCCGTTTTAAAAAAATGAATTTTTGCAAACTTTTATTTACAAACTTTTGGGGGGGGCGAGCAGTGTCGCCCCAGGGTTTACCTCCGGCTGTCGGCCGTGCGGGGTTCCCTAGGTTACCAAAAAAAAAAAAAAAAAAAACTTTTGTTTGTGTGACTCGTCGGCTTTCTCTCATTAGGATATCTAAAAGTTTTAATTTACCAACTTCCATTTAAGTTGCTTACAAACCATTGTCAAAGATAACCTTTTAATTCACGAGAAGAAAGAGAGGGACTGCCTTTACTTCTTCCAAATGTGCAGTATTATCTTATAATTGTGATAATGGGCATCCTTCAAACAGGGCTTTGAAGGATCTTATTGACTTTGGTGTAAATATTCAATGCCAAATACTCAGAAACCTTTCTGACTTGCTACGGTGACTTGATAAGCATCGATAGGAAGTGCACTTTTGGTCGCGATCAGCTCAAAGAACTTTCAGCTGAAGATCAGGATGCCCGAGTCGCCCTTTGTGCCACTCGAAAAGATCTCTCATCGCTTCGACAAACTGACTGTGAACTTCGTTTACCTGAATTTGAGTGAGAGCAAATACCGTGAAGACTCCGGCGAGTCATAACAGAGAGAGAAGCCGGCCTTCAAGAAAACAGAGCGAAACCAGGACTAGTCTACTTGTCCTGGTAGTGGCAAAACAGTAGCCAATCTTGCATGAACGGTCTCAAATTCAATCCTTCCTCTGGTTTAGAACATGCTCTTATTTGCCTTCCTAATGAACACTTGAATATTACATAATCACAAAGCAAAATGCAATTAGTATTCATACCTCTTCAACGGTGGGGTTCGGATTTCTCTTGAACTCAATCGGTTTCCCTACCACCACATGCATCGGCTGCTGGAAGGGTAAGGGAGTCCTGTATGTGAGCAGAGAACCATGTCAAAGACAACGAGGCGAACTGAGCGCGCAATATACACATCTCCGATAAAACTTACCCAAGAATTCCCCAAAAGAAAATCGGGGTGAACTTGAAAGCCCTGGAGAATTGCAAGAAAATCCTCCCGCTGGGCTTCCACCACTTATAGACATGCGACTGCATGTATGCCGAGCAATTCAGAAAGAGAAACGGAAATGAGGACCGGGAAAAGAAGTTCCCAACTTATTGAAACAGAATGCACAATGTGTAATCACCAGTTATAGTCCATGCTTGAACATGGATTGGATGGGAGCACAAAAGCATAAAATCATTCAAACAAATGGATGCAGAAAACTAAGGAAAGCACGATGAAATCCCAAGCTGTCAAACATGGAAAAGAGAAAAAATGAAGATAAAAGGAGAAGCGAAAAGAATAGTACTTGACCATAGCAGATCACTGGAACTAGCGGTCGGCCTGTCTCCATTGCTATGCGGATGAATCCTCTTCTAGCTTTGAGGAATGCAATCTTCAAACAGTGTGAGGCAATGTTAGTTTGAGTCCACAAAGTCACATCAAAAGCTGAACTGTTAATCATCCTTCCCTGCCTGTGCACTAGGGGGTCGATGTATGCGCTTCTTATGATTCAGTGTCTCAAATTTTGCTAATTGGATAGATTGTTCACTCTTTTGGCAGCATAAATCTAGTCAGACAGTAGACAATCCTAGGACTAGAGGTAGTGTGGTGTTCTTTGAATGTCCCGCAGTGCAATATGATTTGGTGTACCAAATTACGCTAGTTGGATATTTTGTTCACACTTTTTGCAGCATATATCTAGTCAGACAGTAGATAATCCTAGAATAGAGGTAGTGTGGTGTTCTTCAATGTCCTGCCATGCAATTATCTCCCTCCTAAACATAAAAGTACTTCGATATCAATGACAAAAGGCAGTAAATTTCCAAGTGTTTATTTCAAGGACATCTTTGTGTGTTGATGGAGCGCAGCAATGAATATGCTATGGCAGAGCAACAAATCTTCTCTAAATATGACAACTCAACTCCAGAAAATTTTCATAGCAATTCTCCCTTCTCTCTCTCTCTCTCTCAAAATAGTGTTCAATTTTTGCTGTCCCCTTCCCAGGAAATAGCATTAACACAATGTTATGACAGAGGTGAAAGAGAATCTTTTTCAGGGTATGATCCACGGTAGTCCCACGGCAGTCTTACTGGGACGTGGAAATTGCTGCTATCAGCTATTGCTCCATGAACCAGGAAGTGAGGCACTTAGCGACATGCCACTTGCAGAATCATGTTGACTGTGGTATGAGAAACTGCGTAGCTAAAACGGAAAAGCTATTTTGTAGAATGAAACCCAAACCATGCATGTTAATTGCAGGCAAGAGACTTCTAAACAAGTAGGAATCCAAGTAAATGAGATAACAATTGAAACTGAACGAAAGAGTTGAGAGGACACGGACCTCGAAGTCGTGCTCCATAAGAAATGTCTCTTGAACACCACCGGGCACAATGATACAGCTACAACCGGCTTCCAAAAGGGAAACAAAATTTTTCCTTGTTGCTGGTGTGAGACCCAACCATGTCCAGATGTGCCTCACAATTGGTGTATAGAAGACCTAATAAGTAATAGATATTGAGAGGCACAGTAAAAGGTTTCGTAAGAACATAGAGTGCACATGACCAAGGATGGAATATTTACCGCAGTACTTGCGAGGACTTTAATCTTGGGGAGAGGCATGAACCCGGTGAGGTCAGCCAGCGCAATGACACCAATCGGCAGAACCGAATGCGGTTCATAGCCGAAAACTGCAAGGATAAAAGCACTACAATTTCAGTTACCCCATTGGAAAAACTAGGAGAAACAGATTCAAAAGGTCATCGTGCTAGTTTCGTCGAAAAGGTCTCTGGAAGATATATCGAACATCGACAGCCTACCATGTGGGAGTCAAGAACAGAGCCCTACCATTTTTTTAGAAGTAATGCAAAACATCAACCCACAAAGCCACGAGTCTTTGAAAGCATCGGATTGTGTACGAGGAACAGAGGAGCGCTCATATAGTACAATAAAGCGGAGCACAAGACCTCACGCTCAATAACCAAAGTGCACTGGTATAATCTACCAGACTCTTCATCAGTCAACTAACATTTCACTTAGGCAGTAGTTAATTCTCTTTTAACAGAGTTTAAGAAACACAAAACGCCAACTGATTTTCCATTTTCAAAGGGCAAACTACAATATTAAGGACTGGAATGGAACTGACCATAAGCCTGATTTGGATCGAAGGCTGTTATATCCTCCACGTGCAGAGTCAGTGGGAAATAGCGGCAAGCATGCTTACATATGTACCTGCAAAAAGAAAAAGTCCAAACCCACCTTCAAAACCACGAAACTAAAAATAGCAACAAGTCAACAACACTGCATCAATCCAAAGAAATCACACAGAGAGACCAACTGAGAAAACCCACCTGGACAACTTTCGCCCAACTTTGCTCTGATCATCTATGGGAATCACCATACAAGCCACGAGGAAGCCAACCACTCTGGCCCATCCAAAAAGCCAGCAGAAAGCGAAACCACGAACGAAAGTGAATATATTTAAACCCCAAAAAGAAGAAGTAGAAGAAGAAGAAGAAGAGGCGGAGAGACAGAGAGAACTAACAGGAGGGCTTTGGAGAGAGGAAGGAAGAGGAGAGAGAACAGGACGAGTATGGCGTCGAAATGGATCGCGCCGAGCCATATCAGCAGCGCCGTGACCGTGTGCAACACGCTCGACGACGGGAATTGCTCTCTCCCGTTGAAGACTCGAAATTTCTCGGTCTGCTGCTGACGATTCATCACGCTCTCGTCACCCACCATCACTGCCGAAGATTGATAAGCCACAGAACTATAATTCTTGCTCAAGAGATTGGCTCCCTAGCGTTGTTTGTGTGCTATGATGAATAGCGAGAGGCGATGTTGTTCGGGGTTGATTCATCTGGAGAACTTATATAGACGGCGTCTCGGGCTTTCCAGACGAAACACGGTCCTCCGCCCTCCTCCATGCATGGTTGCGTGATCACCGATTCCTCTAATAATTTCAAGAAGAGACAAAACTTATCAGAAGAGAAAAAGATGAGCTCCGATTGTTTTTTCTCTGTTGTCGCTGTTCATCTCGGAGTACCGAGTGGCCACGACATTCGGTAGAGGAAGCTTTTGCTCCTTCTGGACATTAGAGATTCACCTTTCGTTTGGCATCTTCCTGTTCACCGACGAGAGGACAAGAACTCGACCCTCTTCCGCTAATCCAGAAAAATCATCGTCTCAACCTACTATACATACACACACATCACAGTCCTAGAAACAAAGAAAAAAAGTAAACTAACATGTATACTAGATTGAACTTCATGAATGATACAAGGGAATCCACGCCAAATCTACATGGACCCACTATTATAACGGATTGTCCGAATTTAGTTTAGTATTGTTTCGCTGGAATTTGACTCCGCAATAAAATACCTTCCATCGAAAATCTTTCTTCGATTTTTATCAAAGAAGACAAGTTCTATGGCAATTATGAACACGAAATATCACAGTTAGAGAAGAGAATCGACAACTTCACTTCATATGGAACCAAATGTATACAAGCTGTGCTAGAATTCAATTGAAGATGCGGCCTAAGAAGATAAAGATGCAAAGCCGGAATTTAATATACGATGAGGCATCCATGAATTACAGCAAGATACATGTTGGAATTTAATCCACATGCGGTAGAAACTATAGCTAAGAAATACGTCGGAATTTAATCGATGACGTGAATATGAAAACTATAACTACAATGTAGAGATTGAAAAATAATTAAAAGATATCATGTTTGTTTGTTTGGGGGTGGGGCTTCTAGTGGTTGAGCACCAGTATTTATAGTGCCTATTACATAACTATTCCAGAGCAGTTCTTCTGTAGTTTTTGCCATGCTTCTATATTTCCAACAATCTCGATCCCATATCCTCATGATGTCACAATCTTATCTTCATGTGGGTACTCCTTTCAAATTGCGCCTTGATCTTTTTGTCCTTGCTGAGTTAATTTTATCTATTCTCCACGATCTGCTCGACTTCATTGTTCTTTCCACGAGTGATTTCAAATTAAAATATTATAACTATTTCTTAGCGCCTCTCAAACATCTAGTCTTTGTTCGGTGTTTCAATCGATAACTTATCGCTCCTTTTCTATCGGTATCTTCGCCGATGATGTATGCGTGGGACGAGTGATTCTGGATATGAGGATTTTTTCGGTTATGTGTATGGACGGGTGTGTTGAAATGGAATGAAATAATGTATAAAGGACAAAAAGATATGGGAAGGTTAGTCACCGAAGTGTAAAGAGCCACCAACCAAGGATGAAGAACTGGGATAATGGCAGCTCACGATCAACGTATAAATGATTGTTCCACCGGCCAAGGATAAATAGCTGGTTGATTCACCATCAACGATGCTGGATAAAGAATCACATAAATATTCACTCATGTAAGATTCATCAACTCTACGTTACATTTGAGAACTCTCTATTTATGGAGGGACTAAGACATAGAAAATAGGAAATAGGAAATAGACAAACATTAAAGACATTAGAATTAGAAAGCAATTAAAGATCTAGTAACTAGAAAACTCATTAATGACATGGAGACTTGAAATCTTGACTCTTCAGCCTTGCGGTTCATCTTCCAAAATTCATCAACCAGCCTTGACCAGGAAACAACCATATTAGGAAATCTACAAATATTAAAGGAAATTGCTCATAACAGCCTCCCATCAATATGTAGTTTATTAGCGTTGAAACCAACAACTAGTCTCGAAGAATTGGTAATTTAATACTTGATCGACAATGAAGAATCGACAAGGGAGAATCGACAACTCCTTAATCAATAACTTGGTCAATAGCCTTTACGTTGATAACCTCATTCTCAACGGGAAAATTGTCAAATCAGTCCTAAACCTATTGTACGGCGGTCAATTCAGTCCTAAACCTTTTAATTTTGCCAATTCAGTCCTAAACCTTTTAAATTCTCGCCAATTGAGTCCTTCCGGCCAATTTTGGCCGGCCGGCGCTGACGTGGCAGTCAGCCGGCGCCGGCCATCCGGTCAACGCTGATGTGGCAATTTTTAATTTTTTTTTTCAAATTTTTTGTTTTTTTTTTCTTTTTCTTCTTTTTTTTTCTGGTTTCTCCCCTCCGGCCGGCCGCCGGACCGGCCAGAGGGGAGGGCCGGTGAGGCCTTTGGCGAAGCTCGCCCCGCTGGCCACCGGCGAGGGCGAGCCTCGCCGCCCTGGCCGGGCGAGGCCGGGTCGGCCTCGGCCTCGCCGTCGCGACCCGCGAGGCGAGGCGAGGTCGAGCCTCGCCGTCGCCCGGGTCGCGACGGCGAGGCGAGGTCGAGCCTCGCCGTTGCCCGGGTCGCGGCGGCGAGGCGAGGCCGACCTCGCCTCGCCCAACCAAGGGCCGGCGAGGCTCGCCCTGCCTCGTGGCGGCGAGGCGAGCTTTGCCAGAGGCCTCGCCGGCCCTCCCCTCTGGCCGATCCGGCGGCCGGCCGGTCGCCGGACCGGCCAGAGGGGAGAAACCAGAAAAAAAAAAGAAAAAAAAGAAAAAAAAGATTAAAAATTTGAAAAAAAAATAATTAAAAATTGCCACGTCAGCGTTGACCAGACGGCCGACGCCGGCCGGCGGCCACGTCGCCGGCCGGCCAAATTTGGCCTAAGGACTCAATTGGAAAGAATTTAAAAGGTTTAGGATCGAATTGGCAAAATTAAAAGGTTTAGGACTGAATTGGCCGCCGTACAATAGGTTTAGGACTGATTTGACAATTTTCCCCATTCTCAACTCACGGAAGCAAGTTATGACCAAAATCAACCTTAGCTTGAATGAACATTGATTGGGCTGGATTTGTCGACGGAAACATGTTGGAACTTAAGAATCATTCCATCAAATCGAATGCTCTCGCATGAGCCGACTAATTTTGCTATGTGTCAACCATACGCCGTTGTATATCATAACAACCCGGTACAACGAGGGCGGGGAGTGGTTACCGGAGCCAGAGGACCTGGACTAGAAGTGGCTCCTGACAGGCTTCTAAGATGACGAAGGGGGTATGAATGAATCGAACTGTGCACCAAACATGGGGCGAGCAATTCTAAGAGAGATATATATGTTATGAAATACATGAATGAATATTCATTATATTCAATGTATCTATTATGGTACATTTGTAACCTACATACATGAATGTATATTCAATGTACCTATTATAGTACATTTGTAACCTACATTCTACGTACAATCTCCAATGAATGTTTATCTCTCTATTCAATGTATGTATTCAATACATTGACATTAATGATATGTGCATTCTTGTTTTCTTATAACATAATGAAAACAGAAAATATATATCTTTGGTATTTATCTGCTTTCTCTACTTAATCTCTATTATCTCTATTATATACTTGCAACGTAATATTTTACAACACGTTATCAGCACGAAGATCTACCAATTGAGTAAATAATTTTTGCAAGGTAAGTGTTCTCTTTGTTTTCATTAATCAACTTACACTTCATCTTCTCATATCAATTCTTCATTTTTCTTTTTCTTGGCCTGAGGCCAATTTCCAATCTAAAAGTATCCTTCTGCTCCTGAAATGGCGGTGGATATTTGGAAATCCTTCTAATTAATTTAAGGATTCATTTGTTTTGCAAGAATTATGGCAAATATTGAAAAGCCCAAATTCCACATCCTGGAAGTGAGTGGAAATAATTATCTATCCTGGTGCCTTGACATGGAAATGCACCTCCAAGGGCAAGATCTCGCTAATGCAATTACAGAAGACGAAACCTCAAATGCAAAAGATAAAGCAAATGCACTGATTTTTATTTGTCGTCATTTGCATGAGAGCCTGCAGACTCAATATTTATCCGTTCGAGACCATCAGACCCTGTGGAAGAGATTGAAGGATATGTATGATCATACCAAGACTGTTATCCTCCCTCAAGCATAATATGACTGGCAAAATCTCAAACTGCAAGATTTTAAATCAGTGTCTGACTATAACTCCGCTTTATTTGATATTGTTTCTCGGCTTGAGTTATGTGGTATCAAGCTCACTGATGCAGAACTGTTAGAGAAAACTTTCTCCACCTTCCATGCTTCGAATATTGTATTGCAACAGCAATACCGGCAGCGTCAATTTGCCACATACTCTGAATTAATTTCTGTGCTCCTCACTGCTGAGCAAACTAATGAATTGCTGCTCAAAAATCATGATCTTAGACCCGCTGGGTCAAAAGCATTGCCTGAAACACATGCTAACTCTGAGAAAAATACTGGCCATTTTAAGGGCTATAAGCGCAGGCAAGAACATAATTCTCGAAGAGGTGGCAAGAAATTTAACCGCCCTAGGAGATCTTGTGACATTCTGAATTCGACCCACTTTCAAAATCAATGAAATGAATGTGTATTTCTCACTTTGTTTTAGTAAGTCTCGCTCGGAGCTGATCACTCTCGGGATACTAACTAATAGGGAATGGCTAACTAGGAAAACGGTACGTGGACCCAAGAACTCGATCGTGAATCGACCTTCGATTTCGAGGAACGACGAGAGAATATTTTAGGCCAATGTGGGCCGATCCAAGGAAGGATTGCGGATCGATTTGCCAAAGACGTACGATCGGATCGCGGGTGATTCTGCATGACCGATTGTGTGCGTGATGAACGATCCAAAACTTATTTCGAACGATCGCGACCTCCAGAACTAGTGATCGATCCTCACGTTTTCTCGGTAATCAAGGCCACCATGGCTCGAGTAACCCTAGGTTGATACGCGTAACCCCTAAAAAGCCACCCGTTAGTAAGAGACACTAAAATCGCAATTGAGCGAAATTGATCGTTGAGTTGAATCCGGACTTGAGTGTCGAATTTCGCGGACGTACACGACTAATTTTCAAGGACAACGTCATATTAGTGTGGCCAATCATATTTGGGATAGGTTTGGTCGGAAAATTTAATTTTGGACCGGAAGTGGAAAATTACCATTTTGCCCTTAAACCCTATGCCTTAATTCTGAAATTTGGAGGTTAATATGGACTTATTCAGCCCCAAGTGTGGCCGAAATTTAATGGACACTTAGGCCCCCATCACTCTTGCTTATTTCCAAT